ACGCTCTGCGGTCCTCTATATATGTGTAGTAACACAGCGCCGACTGCTGTCCAGCAGCGGCAACTGCGGTGGACAGTTAGCGCACACGCCGTCGAGCAAATACACGGGTGTGTGTGCCGGCAGGGCGGAAGAACTGGGGTAAGGGTCACGGAAGACCTCATCGGGAAGCCCCTGGAACCCCCTAGTGGGTTCGAGAAGGGAGGCGCGGCCAGGGCGGAGCCAGGCCACGCCGAGTAGGATAAAAGCAGCGGAGATCGAGGAGCTCCGGACTGACGGTTCTGGGAGTGGACTCGTCTCGCCGTCGCCGCCGCTTTCGCCCGATAATTGCGCGGCCGGACAGCGGTTGGCTGTGTCGGTCAACGCCGTTGGTGTGACGCGGTCAGGGTTGTGTCTAGGCCAGGCTGTACGGCCACGTGGCCGAGAGAGGAGGCGATCCTTTGTGTGAACGGCCGGAAGGGTGTTACAATAAAAGAAGGTGCCTCCTGCGACTGCCTCGTCTCCGACTTGTGCTACACTACATATGTAAAGATGTTTTCAGCAAAATGATGTGTTTATATGTGGGGGGGGGGGGAGGAGGGGGGGGCGGGGAAGCCAGAGCACCCGGAGAAAACCAACTCGTGCGAGGGGGCAACACTCAAACAGAAGGGACAGGTGACAATCGTCCACAATTTGCTGTGCCGTTTTCTCCTGGCCAAGTAAGGATATGGGGTACTTCGATGCCCACGGGAAAGGAGTTTCGCAACATTTGCGTGATCCACCAACCCTCACTGCCTCCACAGTGCCGGGTTACGGGCGTGCATAACCGCCACCGGGGGGCGGTCGTGGTGGTGCACGGGTCCTTGGATATAAACGTCTGGAAGTTCACCAGCATTGGGATAAGAAAGCACGAATGTCGAAACCGGTCCGGAGTTTGCCTGTGCTGAACCATAACTGCAGAGAGAAAAAAATCAGTCACTCCCAGACACGGTGTGGGTTGTTGTAAATGAACACTCGCACTTTTTTACGTGGAGACACAACCTTGGCAAAGACATCGCGTCGCCACTTTGCTGCGTTGTTCACTCCACGTCACTCGGCCTTAAGATTTACATTGAACTGCCCATATAGGACTCACCACTGTGATCTCTACATTGGGTCAAACTTAACATCTCTTAATGTTCGACGGCTTGTACACCAGATCTTATTTATTCCCGATGTACTTACAAAAAAATTCGCAGACTACCTGCTGGATCTCCTTTCTGTTTCAAAGAACAAATTGACCTCAGGTCTTCGCTCATCTACCAGCTTCACATTCCCTGTTGCCGTACAAAAACCGGAGGAAGGGCCTTTGCTATTGATGCCCCCAGGGTCTGGAATGCTATTGCCAATAAACTGCAACTTGAATCACTACCTATGAGATCTTCACTCAAAACTGCTCAAGAGGAGTTGTACACCCCTAGCTGCCACTGCTATTCAGTGGCCTAAAATAAAATAAAATGTTTCGCTCCGGATGACCGCTGCAAAGTATTATCTGTATTTTTATTTAGTGTGCTGATCTTAAAGGTGATTTGAAACATGTGATACTCCGACTGATGCGCCTGTTGTTTGTGGAGTGACTCATGCAGCCAGCTGTGGCTCTAGGGTTTGGTGTTATATGTTATTTATGTAGTTTATTGTTAAAAATTCGGTCACAGTTCCTATGAGCACTGTTACATTGCATTTATGGCTTTATTTTGGTGATTTCTAAAAGTTTTTTGGTTTGGCCATGTTTTTGTTTATTGTAGTACGGAGTTAGACTGATGGCCTTAATCTAAGTTTTCTTGGTGTTGTTGTTTGACTTGCATCCCACTGGGATTTTTGCACACAGCGTTGGTGTACGGTGCTAATTCAGGAATATTTTGATGTTTTTTTCTGGATTTTCTGTTTGCACATGCACAAAGTCACTTTAAGATGTTTTCTTGTTCATGTTTTTGTTTTTTTTTTGTTTGTTGCGGTTGCACCCGATTCAAGAGCCGAATGGCTCACAGGGCTATACCAAAATAAATGAAACTATGAAAACTAAACTATGAAACGTCCGGGTCCGTGGCTCTTTCGCGCTATGTTGCGCCTTGCGTTTTGACCGCGTGGCTTCACAATCACGGCGCGCGGTTCGTCTGATTCATTAACCAAATAAAGACAGAAGCGTCCGTGCCTTTTGCGGTACATAAGCGTCGCTCTCCACGCAATTGTTGCTTTTTTTCTCTCTCGGCAACAAACGGCACCGCGCATTGAAGACGATAACGATAATAGCAAGGAAGGTTGAGCCTGTGAGGACAACAAGTGCATAGTTGCCACGGCCATTTCTCCAAATGCTGAATCTGAATCGGTCGGTCGATCGCTCTCCACCCTCTCCACTGTCCGCAATCGTTTACCCAGGAACTCTATTTGAGGAGGGTCCTGCGAAGTTTTCACAGTAGGGAACTGCGACTGCTGTGTGTCCAAATTAAGTGATTTGCGCATACGTATTTAAATCTGGGTCCAAATAGCCTACGTTTCTGCAGAGAACACGGGATATTGAACGTCCACTGAAGCACACTGCGTGTGTTGACGGTTTAAAAAAGAAACCCAGCAGTATTAACCAGGGTGACATGCAGAACCGAACCGTGAACCTCAATCGACGAACGTGCCACCGCTGGCCTCGTAAAAGGCGAAGTTAAGTTGCAGAGGCCATGACCTGTGCACCAGGTGACCTCCACAGCCCACAGTGACCGCTGTGCGTGGCCTGCAGCAAGAAATTGTTTGTATTCTGGCGCGAGTGGAATTTTAAACGCAATTTTGGTGGTGGCAGGTAAATGTCCTACAATTGCTCACTGGTGGAAGGGCGTTTACAAGAGTGAGCTCCGCAGTGTTTTTGGTCCAATCTTCCACGTCGACCAGACGCGTTGGGAGAGTTGGAAGTACCCCCATTCCCCCCACCTCCCACGATCTGCTCATTCATTTATACTGCTGTGTGGACAGGGGTGGAGCATATTGAAAAACTTGACCGTTGAGCATAATTTCCTTCAGCCTTCACATTTCAAATCACAAAATTCAGGTGTTGATAAGTGTTTAAACTAAAGCACAGCTACAAAACACATTTTAATTTAAGTTTTCGTTTTAATGCAATGGTGATTTATAAACTTGGCCTCTTGACCAACGCTGATTCGAGCTGGTGGTAACTAAGCACATTTACTATCTGTTACAATTCCGAAATGTGATTCACTTCATGAAAATGTTAGCCTTTCTGAACGACTTTGCAATTACATACTATGACATACGCAATATGGTATAAGTGTGCAAGACGTTTATGCAGTCTTTACGTTTGGAGAGACATCATCAAGCAAGCAACGATGAACTTGCCTGTGTGTGACTACACAACGGCATCTACGTGTGTGTGTGTGCACCTGCTCCATACGCCGTCGTTAACACACAGGGAGAAAAAAGGCGACAAGCATGCAGCACAACCCTTTATTACCACATCATAATACTACTAATAATAATAACCTCTATTTTGTAAAGCGCCATTTATATTGAAGTATATCAAAGGGCTCTGCATACAAATAAAACTACACTCCCAAATATAGGTTAAATCAAAGCGAAATAGAAAGCAAATAATAATAACAACAATATCAATGACGACTCTGGTTAGTCCCAATAAAATTAAGAACTGTGATAAAAGCGAAATATAATAGTTGCAGAGTAATCCAAGCGGACAAGAAAAATATGTTTTAATCTTAAGTTACAGGGAAAGCCTGGAGTACAAATAGGTGCCTTTTAAGACGGTGATTTAAAAAGTGAAACAGATTCAGAATCCTCAATGGACCGAGGAAGAGGATTTGACAATCGCGGAGCCTGGTTGCTGAATACTCCTTCTCTCATAGAACAACAATAACACCACCACCACCACCACCACAGTCTTGTCTATGGAATGATGAGTAGACCAGAATCAGCAGACCTAAGTTTTCGCGGTAATACATAAAACTTGAGCAGAACGGTGAGATATCTAGGAACCAGCCAATTGAAGGCCTGAGACGTGAGAAGTAGAATGTTGATGCCAATTCGGTACTTTACAGGAAGCCAGTGCAGGGACGAAATAATTAGTATTATCTTCTTTGGTTCTTTCGGTAAAGTCACATAGAATGAGAATAAAAAATAATAAATTGATAAAATAAAATAACGCAATAATCTTCTCACGACGTTTCGGCCACAACACAAGCGGCCTTCATCAGGTGAAGGGGACGAGACTGTCTGGAGGACAGCGCTGGAGTGCTGGAGTGCTGTCCTCCACACAGTCTCGTCCCCTTCACCTGATGAAGGCCGCTTGTGTTGTGGCCGAAACGTCGTGAGAATATTATTGCGTTATTTTATTTTATCAATTTATTATTTTTTATTCTCATTCTACGTGACTTTACCGAAAGAACCAAAGAAGATGAATCCTTGCAGTCACGAAAGTTCTAAATCGAAATTAGTATTATCATGAGCCAAGAATGTCTGTTTGTGTGTAACGCGCGTGACGTCACTCCATATGCCGCAGCCCCCCCCCCCCCCGTCATGAATATTCATGAGTGGGTGGATTTTTACACTCACGCAGAAGAAGGTCGAGCGGAAAGAATGTTTTTTTTTCACAAATTCGCTTTAAGCTTGACGTTTATTTATTGAAAGTGAATCTAATAAATAATTATACGCAGCAACAAAGTGGATTTGGTGTCTTTATTTCTTCAGCACTTGAGACAAAAGGTACAGTAAGTCTAATTTATGCTTCTACATTATGCTAAAATAGACATTTCTCGGTGATTTTCCAGATATTGTATCGAATTCCAATTTATTTCAACCCCAGCGACCGAAAGCAGAAGAGAATAAAGTATCAGAGCAGTGAATTTCAACAAATTGAAGGTCAGTTATATAAAGTGCTACAGTGACATGAAGTGAGGTGTTTTATGACAAGTTTAGTGCAAGAATCACTGCCATTAATACAGCGCTACAGTGAAATGCAATGAAGTGTTTGATGACATACTTTCGTGCAAGATTCACAGCCATTAAATTTACACATGATACAATTATACTCTGCTCAGTTTTTTTCGTAAATATTCCAGCTTCCGTCCTAGGCCGGGCAAACAAGCTAGTATGAGTAATATGGTCATACGATTTAGATCTGGTTAAAACCCAAGCAGATGAGTATGGGAATATATTGCCATCTATTTCAAACACTTTTAGAAACGTCAGAGTCTTTGTTACGTATAGTCTCTATAACTACGCCAATTACTATATTGTGTTACATGTTATTACGTTTTGCATTGAACCGAGATCCATATCTAAACATCTGACAGTTCACTAGCATAAATTCCGGACAAGCCTAACTCTGGATGTCAAGCCTGACTATCCAAATGAGACACTGAATGGTGAAAGTAGTGCCTACATTGCTTGTGATTAACCAATGTTTGTGATTAATTAATACATGTAGCTTAATTTATGCACTACCAGAAGGCCGCATGGCTGATGGGATGTTTAAGTAAATTAGTTTTTTTTTATCCATGGAGCGATAGATGTGTGAACGATGCGAATTTTCTGCTCGTTTATTTTGTTATACTCTACAGTACTCATATTGTCCACAACCATGATAATGATTCAGTTGCCACATTTATTACAGCAATACATGGCGAAATCCCACTGTAATTCGCCCATGTTCTGTCAAGTTAATGTTGTTTAACCGGGGTGAGAACCTGGGTATCGCTGTGGTTATTAACCTGGGTATCGCTTTGGTTATGTAGACCGATGCGGTTGCACACACGAAATGCTGCACGTGAGCCGCTTTGCACAAAACGCCTCTTATCCACAGATTACCTCGCCCAAGGGGGCCACGGTCCGCAGACCGCCACACAGTAATTTCATTTTTTTTAACGCATCGTGGCAATGCATTACTTAAACGTGGAGGGCAATGTGCGCGTTGTATGGCTCAACATTGAAAGGCGCGGTCGAGTATGTCCAGCAGAGGAGGGACTCTCTCTTGATGCAGCGCTAATCGAAGAAGGGTGTGTTCTTGTAAGAGAACCAGTAGATGGTGAGGAATATCACGAAGGCCAGCGGGAAGAGGACGCGTGAAATGTAGTCGATTTGACGGGATCGCACCAGCGATCTCTCACGGGCCTGCGTGGACACGGTCACATTTCACGACGTTGTTCACGGGCGGCTGTTACTCATCATACCATCGTTGTAAGAAACATCATCAGCGGGTGACATTGGTAGATTTCACGCAGATGGGCAAGACACCGACGGTTTATGCAACATCCTAGACGCTTTGTAATGAGCCTTGCCCACATTCGCTGCTGTCAGTGCCTGTCAATTACTGTCAGTGTCTGTCAGTGTCTGTCAGTTGGTGTCAGTTGCTGTCAGTGTCTGTCAGTGTCTGTCAGTTGCTGTCAGTGCCTGTCAGATGCTGTCAGTTGCTGTCAGTGTCTGTCAGTGCCTGTCAGATGCTGTCAGTTGCTGTCAGTGTCTGTCAGTGTCTGTCAGTTGGTGTCAGTTGCTGTCAGTGCCTGTCAGTTGCTGTCAGTGCCTGTCAGTTGCTGTCAGTGTCTGTCAGTTGGTGTCAGATGCTGTCAGGTGCTGTCAGTGTCTGTCAGTTGCTGTCAGTGTCTGTCAGTGCCTGTCAGATGCTGTCAGTTGCTGTCAGTGTCTGTCAGTGTCTGTCAGTTGGTGTCAGTGCCTGCCAGTTGCTGTCAGATGCTGTCAGTTGCTGTCAGTGTCTGTCAGTGCCTGTCAGATGCTGTCAGTTGCTGTCAGTGCCTGTCAGTTGCTGTCAGTGTCTGTCAGTTGGTGTCAGATGCTGTCAGTTGCTGTCAGTGTCTGTCAGTGTCTGTCAGTTGCTGTCAGTGCCTGTCAGTTGCTGTCAGTGTCTGTCAGTTGGTGTCAGTTGCTGTCAGTGTCTGTCAGTGTCTGTCAGTTGCTGTCAGTGTCTGTCAGTTGGTGTCAGTGTCTGTCAGTTGCTGTCAGTGTCTGTCAGTTGGGAGATGAACCAACCATGTGGCTGATTGACGACGGAGGTCGTACGTTTAGCTGCCTAGTACAAGACTTACACGAGCTTAGACGTTTTGTCTGACCCTGCCCAATGAGCGAGACCGATTATACCCCACCACGTCGTACAAGGGATTGAAAAACAAGTCCCTGAATAAAGAAGCCCTGCACACTGAAAGACTTGCAAATCGGAGTTTGTATTTGGATTCTCCATAACACCACCCCTCCCTCTGTTTTTAGCTCTGGATTAAACTTGACGTTACAAAATGTTTGCGTACATTTTCAAAAACGGTTTTACCCAATAGTTGAGAAGTATGCATGAGAAAAAAAGAATAATCAAACGTGTTACACAATAATTCGGAGAGATTCAGCATGAAAAAAAACTCAACATACGTTGTTGTTTTTTTACACAATTAGTTACAGACAGAATCGAGAGAAAACCCACTTGAATCTAAAACAGCGAATCAGCGAAATGCGCCCGCACCTGATCCCTGGTCTCCGCCTTGCCACTGACGACGTGCTGCTTCGTCACGCTCACCACGGTGGACTCGAGAAGAGCAGCGAACACGAACACCTGGCACGCGGCCATCCACACGTCCATCGCTTTGATGTAGGACATCTGCACGGGGACACGTGGGCATTAGGCGCAGTGCGGCGAGTTCGGCTCATCATCATCAGCAGCCGTTGTACATCCGCTGTTGGTTAATGCCCCCTCCGCACATAAACCATTTATCACAGCTTCAAGAGTCAAAGTGAAGTCTTACTCAAAGTAGCAATTAAGCGGTGCTCATCTCTTGTTTACAACCTTGAGGTTCCACATTACTATGGCGGGGAGACGAGGACAACCACCGTTTACTTTCCCGCAAAGTGGCACTTATATGCAAGAAACTAATTTCACTTGACTCAGCCTCTGTGCTGTCCTCACATTTCAGAGGTTTTGACTTTTAAAAAAATGTTGAGCAGTGCCCGTGTTTCTTGGTCCATGCTGTAAGTCTGCACCCTTATTCTCACACACTCTCATGAGTCCAATCCATCACGATTGCGCCGTGCTGATCACACACAGTCAGCTCCTTTGATCAATTTAACACGCAGGCTTTCGCGACCAATGTCATCCATAATCGAGAGGTTTTTTATCAACACTGTTTGAAGTGTTTTTGCAAAACTGGCTCGGACTCAAACATGGATTCCAGTAGCGTAACTAGCGTGGGGCCAGGGGGTGCCTTACCCCCCCCCCCCCCTTACAAAAATGCTTTCATTTAGTGGTGGCGGAATTTTGCGAGAACGGAGCACCCCTACAGCATCACATGTTGGAGACCGTGATCGTAATGATGTGATTAGGCAAGAGGAGCTGCGATATATAGCCGAGGTGTGACCGTGCGAGACAAGTCAAATATTGGGGCCCCCCCCATGTGACGGAGCTGATGATGCAGTTACGCCACTGATGGATCCCAAACATTTGTCGGCAACTGGTTCCAGGTCTTCAGGCTGGAGAGCGCGAAACTGCGTTGGCCACATCGCCGCACAAGGTTGTGTTTACGTGTGTGTAGTGTGTGTGTAGTGTGTGTGTAATGGGGAGTGGTAGTGTAGCGGTTAGCGTGCTGCGCTACGAACCTGGTGACCCTGGTTCGATTCCCGCTCACGGCCAACAGCAGTGACGATTATCTGAACCGGTCCTGGGCCTCCGACGCAGCCTCAAATGAGTACCTGGTGCGATGTGTAAACATCGCCACTGGGGAGACAAAGGCGGCCGGGCGTGGTATTGGCCACCCACCCCCTCATGTGCTGTGCCGGCCTTGAAAGGTGCTCGCTAACAGCACTCTCCCCTACAGTCTGCTAAGGCTATATGGGGGGATCTTTGGCTTTGTACACAGGATGGTCCACACGTCGGCGAAAAGCGAAGAGAGTCGAAGGGTGTGCGGCGTGGAAAATGAGGATTTGCACCTTGGGCAGGGCGGCATTCGCCGAGGTCATCTGCGTGGTGACGGTGAGGATGGTGGTGATCCCCAGGCTCACGCGAGCCGGCGTGGATTCAACGCTGAGCCAGAACGAGAGCCAGGAGATGATGACCAGGAGGCAGCTGGGAAAGTAGACCTGGATGAGGTAGTAGCCCATGTCACGGTGCAGATAGAAGGTGGCGTTGATGCAAGAATGCGTACCTGCAAATAAGCCAGTTGGCATCCACAGTATAACCATGATGGTCCTGCGATGCCATAAATCATCTCACACCTGCACACTACTCCTCACTATGCGGTGCACGAAATCATAATCGGAATAAAAGTAGCAAAATAAATACGTAGACAACATATGCCTTCTTCCAATTGCCCACGTGGTATTTTTTTTGTCGAGAGTCAAACATGGAAAGGAGGCATATTTCCCGCACCTCCAATTAACATGGTTGGCTACATATGGTGCGAAATAAGTTCAACATACTTATTTTGTCGCAATGCAGTGGCAATTTCCTGAGGCGCATTACTCTTTGGGTACTATTCTAACGTCAGTCTCCACCAATGGCCATCACGGGCCCACTTAGCTTGATTTTACTTCATGGCAATAGGACGTAAAAACACATTATTGTTGTTGTGCATAACAAAGATATATGCAACACGCATTCATTGGGTGCAATTTAAAACTGCTGACGTGGCTTTCATGAGTTCTGTCCCACACCTTGCCATGGAATCGGTGGATCCAGCCGTCTTAACTTTATGATAGAGCGACATTGCACCACTTGACGGCAACTGGCCAATTTATGGCAATCGAAGAACCAACTTATCATCATCAGACATGGCCCATGGCCATTCCACCGCTGTATAAAGGCCTCCACAAGCCGCCACCACCTTGCACGCTCCTGCGATGAAACAATCCATCCAGCACCTGCACATGGCCTGATTTCACCACTCTATCTCTTTGTCGGATGTACTAAAAAACATAAACGACTTGGAAGCGTCAAACCCATCACGGCTGCGCTCATTTCGCGAGGCAGCCTCGACGGGTTGTGAAGTGCAGGGTAATCAGAGTCAGGTTCATTTCTTAAAGTGCTTACCAGTCAAGTACTCTTTGGAGCAGTCGCCCAGTTCTGTGTGATTAGACAGCTTGAACTTAGGAGTGTAGAGGTTTGTAGCTACAACCAGAGGCTCGTTCTCATCCCACTGGAAAATTAGGTCTTGAGTCGTGTATCCAACTGGTAGATCCACAGTAAAACCCACAAACGTGAATCTCAAAACACAGTCAACGTAATACCATTAATGCAAATGCATAAGGATGTCAATAGAAATCAAACGGTATCGTTGGGATGTTCTTTCATATGTATATATTCACACGCAAGTAGTCGAACGCGTACAGAGTATCTATATATACATTCTAAATCAGTGATTCTCAACGCAGCTTGCAGACCCCGGTTAATCCTCAAACTAAAATTTCGCAGGCACCGTGCAGTCATAAATTGTGGTGTTCTGTGAAAACAAGATTGTATGCGATACTCAGGCTCCGCGAACCACTTCTCTGCAGAGCCTTGCAGAGCAGCAGCAGTTCGAAACCACTGCCCTCACCGACTGACAATTACAAACCCAGAGGCTGCCTACGGCACCGCCATAGTTGTGAATTGTGTGTGGGCCGGAGGTCTAAAAACCTAAAGTTATAATTATCCACAATCCGAATACAGAGAAAAAAAAAGATCAATGAAGGTAGGCATTGTCAGGGGTGGCATGTGGCTGAATGAAACTGGCGAATCGCTATCGAACCAGCTGCGCTGAACGTGACGACAGTTGGTGGATCACACAAATTCGTGAAACTCCCTCCCCTGGCAGCAGGCGTCGAAGGCTCCCTATTGCGCATACGGCGAGAGTTTGACGGCAGTACAACAAGCGGATTGATATCCACACGGACGGAGAAGTGAGTGTTACCTCACTCGCACACGTGGGTTTCCTCCCACATATAAACTCTCTCAGAAAGTAAGTTGGTGAAGCATCCCAATATAGGGCCACAGAACTTGTGCAAGTGTTGGTAGCGCCCGTTCTGACCTGTCTTCCCGCTCGGCTGTGGTTTCCCGTGCCTCTGAATCTTTCTCTCTCGCTCGCTCGCTCGGAGCGAACGTGAACTGTGCGCTTTACAAACCCTACAATGTTTGTTATTATCTTCACATTGCGGTGTCACTCACAGCTCTCCAGGTTTATTCTGCACTCCTGGGTGTCCAACGGATAATATTCCAGGTTCATAGGACAAGCGAGAGTCAGTGACAATCTGGAAAAAAGACAAGGCGCGTAACGAACCGCTTTTTGTTTCGTGCGAATGTGGAGAATGCCACGCGGAGACTAAAACCACACATCTCCCGGGAATTGTGCGAGTGTGGCCGACGCCTTTGTTCCTACAACACATGGGCACGCGCATCCACACGTGCTGCAGCACGTGTTCACGGCGTGCACGCGCTCATTGGATTGCCCACACGTCGCACCCACGCATTCTTTATTCTAATTATTATGTTAGGTTTTATGCCCTTTCCGGCAATGAAACAGGTGTTAAGATTGATTTGAAGCTTTCGTGACCGCAGGAATTCATACTCTTTGGTTCTTTCGGTAAGGTCACGTAGGTATAAAATAAAATAAATCACGACGTTTCGGGCGCAACACAAGCGTCCGCCACCTGATGACGGACGCTTGTGTTGCGCCCGAAACGTCGTGATTTATTTTAGTATATACCTACGTGACTTTACCGAAAGAACCAAATAGTATAGGCGTTAAGATGTTCAAACACCAAATGGAAACCTTTTGCAAAGGAAATCAAGTCCGCATTAAGCACACGTACTTGTGGTGACCATGCAAACAGACATGCTATGGTAATGTGTTCTATTTGACAGAGCATGTTTGTTTGCATTGTTTTCCCACAAGTACGTGTGGTTAATGCAGACTTGATTCATTGCAAAATATTTATATTTGGTGTTTGAACATTTCAGCACCTGCTTTATTGCCAGCAGGGTAAACCCTATTCTTATTTTTTTACATTGATACGAGCAAAACATTTCCCATTTTATTGTTGCTTAAATAGTTCCAAAACGTCTCGTTCCAAGGGCCTCTTTCCCCCAGCTCTGATAACCGTACTCAATTCAAGAAACGCGCTATCTCGTGTCTATTACATCACAACTTTGACATGAAAGCCTTAACAGATTTTTGGGGCAAGTGTTGTTAGCGAGCACCGATTAATGTTGGCATGGCAGACGAAGGGGTGGGTGACCAGCACCACGCCCGGTCGCCTTTGTCTCCCTCGTGGCGATGTTTACACACTGCACCAGGTACTGAGGCTGAGTCGACCTAGGTGAGGCCCCGGACCAGTTCAGATAACCTTCACTGGTGTTGGCCGTGAGCGGGAACCGAACTCGGGTCGCCGGGTTTGTAGCACAGCACACGAACCGCTACACCACCGCTCGCCATAAAAATACACACACACACACACGTACACATATGTCACTCGTTTCCAGACATTTGACCTTATGGAGTAGAACACGGCTCCGTTTCTGAATATTCTCAGCATCCTGTTTTTCGCGGAGACGTTATGGAACGCTGCACTCTTCTCGTTTTCAAAGAAGAGGTCGGGCGTCCACACGGTGTCGATGTAGTTGTTGGCGAGGTCCAAGAAGTCCTTTTGATAGTGGCCGGCAGAGTAAATACTCTCAATGCGGGAGTCAATCCAGCTCTGCTGCAGGTATATCAACATCATGTAGTCCTACGCACAAATAAACACAAAATGATTCACGCGCACGTGGCACGAGGATTGTCACCGTCGTTGTAGCCGCGATCATCAAGCCAATCGTCTCTACACCTCAAAGAGACATTCTCTGAAGCTGACAACAGCCAGCGTGTCACCGAGTGGTGTTATTTTACGGGACCTTTGTTTTGACCTCATCTATCTTGAGTCCAGTTTCGCAACAACAAAAAATGTAACTAAGATTGTTTTACTTTGTGTGGAAGGAAACCGGAGTACACCGAGGAAACCCTGTGCATGGGGGGATAAACTCAAAGCTTCACACAGATGGATTCCATAATGCGCATGCTGTATTGTGATCTTCTGGCTAACTTGTAGCCCAGTGAGTTTGCGAGTTTAACAATTATCCACACGATTCATCAACCCTTACTGACATAGTGCTGGATGGATTATAGGTGCGCACCACGATAACACAGAATCAACTCGTACGTTCAGATGCATCATAGTTATCACAGTATATTTGGAATAATTGTGATAGTCACCTGCACTTCGAGTGTAAATAATAATTGGTAGTTACTGATTCATTCTCCGAAATAGATTTTTATTTAGATGGTTAACATTGCAGATTTTGTGGATGCGAGCTCATTCCACAACGGTGCCATCGGACTTAACATATATCTTGTAAAGTTCCACTTTCACAACACAACCACAATTTAGAGTCATGCATTTATTGCAGTCAACATCATAAGCAATTACCATTAATGCTGCTTAGTGAATTAAACACGGACTGCGATATGTTTATGTAAGTGAATCGAATGCTAGTTGCTTTCTTGTGCATTAGTCTTCTATGTGCGAGTGAAACTTAATCGCCAATTCAGCCCGACTCCTGATACAGGAGAACTTCTCTTCTTATCCGTGGAGATGTGGGGGACCAATAACCGTGGGGTTATTTGTGATATTACTCCACTTATCCATGATTCAATAATGTGCCAGTTTTTATTTTCAAATTCACAATGGCCGACACGTTTTGAATGACGTCACATGATATATAATGCCCACTGTGATGCAGACGGCGCATATTATTACAGTTAATACACCCACAGTATTAACGAGGGTGGAATTCTGTATTCGAACCCCGAACCGTCTGCAACGAGCGGCGAATGTGTTGTCACCAGACCATGTCATGGCCCCGTGACCCGATAGCTCAGCCTGCGCTGTTACCATTGTGTTTTCTTCAATAGGCCCAAAACTCTTCACTAGAACGCTGCAGTTGACAAGAACTGGGGACCCTGAATATGGGAGAGAGGGGTTGGGGAGGTGGAAATATAATTCATTACTTCCTATATATATAAAAAAAACTATGCCGGCTACAATCACGCAGTCTTACAACTACAGCGTGCATGTTCAGCTAGAACTTACATTTTAAATAGGTGAATTCATTTTAACTATTTAATTCACAGACACAGAAAAGGCAAACGAGGATTAAACATTATACAGATGTTTTGGGTGAGATCGCGTAAAAATATAAAACTGTCGTTAAACCCACCACCACCCGACACAGCCAATTAGTAATGTTTGTCACGTCAACAGAACGTGGCAACTCGTTACGAGCACAGCACACCGGTGTGTTGGAGAGCAAATCCACAAGATTTACAATGCCACAACATTTACAATGTTGCTTTGCTCTCCAACACAGCGGTGTGCTGTGCTATGGATGATATTGGTCGCGAAAGCCTATGTGTTAAACTGAGGATTAAATACCAACGTATAATATGCACTGCCGAGTTTGTCAATCGACCTCTGGATGAGGGCTTCCCCACACCTTGCAGGCAATGAGGGATACTTGGCCACACTTTGCCCGCTGATCAGCGTGGGTTGAAGGTGGGAGGGAGTACAGAACAGTGGATTTTTATGCACTGCTTTCTCCTGTTATCCCGGCTCAAACCTGCCTAGCTTCCAAGATCTGACGAGATCACGTACATTCCATGTGCTTTGGTCATTGTAACACCACCACGCCTAATTATTTTTTAATGAAACCCATTTCATTCATTGGCATCTGAAGAGGTCATCCAAACTCTCACACTAAGGCCATGATCAAATACACAGTTACACAACTATACGATTACACAACTACACAATTACACAACTACACAAGCACACAATTAACCTACGATTGAGGAACCAATACACTGGAAAAACTTAAATTATGAGGAGTGGTACATTGAGATACTTACCACGCCTCTTTGGTTCTTTCGGTAAAGTCACGTAGAAATAAAATAAATAATAAAATACGACGTTTCGATTGCAACACAAGCAACCATCATCAGGTATGAATGAATGAGAAAACAAACAAAGTAAAACCTAGTAAACGTAGAAATGTAATGCAATGCAACACAGAGAGTCGGCTAACACAACCGTTAACACTTTACCTGGTTGATTACGTTCTTCCAAAGATTATTACATTTCAGAGAGAGACAAATACAGACACGGAGACACATGGAGAGACACACAAGCAGAGAGAGACACACACAGAGACACACAGAGAAGTCCTGCAGTCACAAAAGCTTCTAATCAAGTTTTCACCACGCCTATTCGCAACAACGGTTTTCACAACATTAACGGGCTTTGCAGTGGCTCTAAAAAATGATGTGACGGATACCACATTCTCTGAAAGCCCTTTCAGAGTTAAGCAGAAGTCAAAGTGATTTCCAGCTCAAGAAGGCAGGGAGACAGCGCTCATCTCCCGTGCACAGCTAATGGTGGCGATTCCTAATTCCCATATGTCGGCACAGAATCTATCCATCAGACAACTAAAGTTGAGTTCCTCAGATATTTCTCCTCATTTTATCGGCCCCAGAGGGATGGCGGATGGGCCGCGTCAACTCCCAGCCGAGATTTGAACTCGTGACCTTCCAATTAGCGAGAAGCTCCCTTCTACCGCTGAACCAACAGGCGGCTTCAGGCTTGATACGTTTTGGACGCCTCGAGTAAACTGTCTGTAGTTTGCATGCGCGAAACGTAAGGGTCAGAAGGGATCGCAATGTTTTAGAAATCAACTAACATATTGCTGTGAAAACAGTTTTGTAAAATGAAGTGGTGTATCCCTTCTTCAGATGCAGTGATTGACATCCTGTATCTTACATTCACGATGCAATGTTGTGAATTGCACACTCACCATACATGTTAGGCCTGAGTCTACCATCATAGCTGGACTCTTTTATCAACTCATCCAGTCCATCCATGCCTGACCGTTTCACGATATCCCTCCTCTGCTGTTCAGACTCCTGGGAGAAAGAAATACTGTACACACACGGGACATTCATTCGTAACAGACAAAAACACAGCCATCATGATGAGACATTGTCTATCCACTGCTGATATGAAGGCATCACCGACCTCATTGGCAGAGCTCACAGTCCTGCAGTAGCCTTTCATCCTGCATGCGAACCGACCCCAAAGCGCCATCGCCGTGGTCCGAATCCTAAGTCACTTGCAATTTTATTTGGTATCATCGCCACTTGGTTTCCCCCAGGAAAGCCCCAGTCTCGAAACGTCCCCATTCATGCTAAGTCTTTGCAGTAGGGGGACAACAATTGCGATGGCTTTCCGATTATATAATTTTGCAGCCATTTTTTCAAATTTGGTCAAATTTTGATCGTGCCAATAATGTCACTGGATTTTTAACGCCCACTTTGAAACAGACGGCACGTGTTTGTATGGTTAACACACCCGCAGTAATAACCAGCGCGGCCTACTAGATACACACCGCGAACATATTAACAAGCGGCAAACGCGTTACCGCTGGGCCATTTCACTGCCCCAAAGTCCAATCGTATCGGACTCTTCGCGATTCAAACATTGGTTGAGGCTTTTCAGTAAAAACACTCTCAATTGTAAAAGCAATACCCTCCTCTCAACTCCGCTACTGGTTATTCTCATCAACTAAAACTAAGCAATGAAACTAAACCAAACTATGTTTATTTTACCAGGTAAAGCCCACTGAGCTATATAGCTCAGGGAGGTAAATCGGAAAATGGCCACAAATGATAGCTCAATGAAGCGACTTATCATGTGGAAATTTAGAGCAGTCAAATGCTCTAAACGCGTGTTTCTAAATATGGACTAAAAAACCAGAGGACCCAGAGAAAAATCCACGCGACCAGGAGGAGAACATGCAAAATTCAAATATACAGGCGTCAAGGTCGGGATCGAACCCACGACCTCCTGTATACCAGACGAGATAATTAACGCGTGGCGAGATGTACAACGGTGTGTGGCACACACCGATTTTCAAGTCAATTGTTACAGCCTACATTTGTTGCAAGGATATCAATTTTATTTGACACCGATTGCAGCGATAACCGCACGGGCAGAGCCGTCCGTCGTTTACCATGTCTGCCACACGATCCACACCAAGCTCCAAGCACGAATCGCAGGAGGAGCCATGCTCGGCCAGGGCTTTGCCGATCGACCGGGGGGCGATGTCCTTGCAGGGCTTTATAAGCGGCAGGAGGCAGACTCCGAGCCGCCGTCACGCGTCGCATATTATTCCGCGCGTGTCCGTCCCCCATCCCCCACGCGCCCGCCGAGTGGGTAGAGCAGATGAATCGTGACCGACACACACACGAAAAAAGAAAAGAGGCGCGATTTAGAAATACGATCATGGATTCTCATCACGAATAGAGTGTTTCTGAGCCAAATATAATGCTATTCGCTTTTTGTTTCATGCCCAATAACACGAGTCTGCAGCGCACGAATGATGACCGAAATTGCAAAGCCGGGCAAGGTCTCATTGTTTTGTTCACAATTAACAGTGGATACTTTTATTTACCTAAAGCTCTTTCGTCATAGAGGATGTTTATTTTCCCCGTTCAGGAAAACGGGTTCTTTATGTACAGCAAAGCGCATCCGCACCGCAGCACTCTGTGTGCCAGACCAGAAAACACGAATACAAAACTCATGACGATTGATCTCGGACAACTGTTATTCAAGGCAGACCGAGACGAAAATAATGAAAAGAGATCAACGAGAAAGCAAGTTCGAGGTCTTTGGAAAACTGAATGTGATAATGTAAAGCACATTCTAATGAGTGTATCTTATCGGGTAATACACGTGGATTAAAACACGGAACTTAATGAAGAAATCGAAACAACAGCTAAACAATGCAAACAAAACCCATGTCAGAGAAACACAAATAGATCTATAGACAGTTAGTTGGCCTCATGGGTAGGGCAAGGTCATTCCCGCGCACGTACAATTAGCGCGGTTAGGCTACGTACGGTGCGAAAGAAGTTCAACGTACATACAGTACACACGAAAGGGACGATGGCCCGTGGTCGAGAAGAACGAGAGGGTGTCCACCACATAGAAGGAGCAATGAGGTCAGCCCGCGTGCAGGTGCCAGATGTAATATTGCATCGCAGGGCCATGAGAGATGGCTACGGCTTGGGGAGGGCTTCCATTGGGTCGATCATGGCCGATAATAATAACGGAGTTGGCGAATCCCTGCGTGCTTAGCGAATAGCATTCGGATCCAAGGCATTCCTCTTGCGACTGCAGCAAAGCGGCTGCGCTGGAGTTTGTTGCAAGGCGTTTCGAACCAAGGGTCGAGAGATTATTGCCGTCGATGCCACTGAGGTCAACGCCCCTCGTAATTACTTCCTTCTGCTGGCTCCGTCCCAAGCCCTGCTCCGTCTCCCACTATCGGCCATCAAATGCCCCCATTGGTTCCCAATTTTTGGATGCCACTCCAGTGCTCGCCTCTAACTTACCCACTTTCTGCCTCCATGCTCTACACAATTCCCAACCATGACCACTTCATATTCAAGATTACTCTTCTACAATGTTTTTTTTTTACATTCGAACCCTACCTTGCAATGGATGTCCGATACATCTCATGCATGTCACGGTATTTATGCAGTCGTAATTGTAGTCCCGTGTGAATACTTTATTTTGTATTTATTGTGCAAATGACAGCATGTGTGCATTACAAGTAACGCAGATTGTAAAGTTGTAATGATTAGAAGACTTGCATGAAACGTTTTGTTGAGCGAACTGCGGCTGAATAACGCTTAAACAATTTTTATTCGTACTCATGAAACACAAAGCACAAAAACGATACCAAAAGTAAAATATTGCAACAGTCTTTGGGAAACTGATCGCGTAATTATCCCCGTGAATATTGGCATAGTATCGCATGGCATAGAGAGACATCACTGCAACCACATCGCTTCGAATTAGGGCTCTCATCCCACCCGTTACTCGGGGCTCGCAACTGATAGGTGCGCTTGAGTGTGGTTGCCGCTGCAGGGCGAGGTAGTGGGGATTGGACACAGATTCTGTTACTCACCTTGGGATGCTCTCCGCAGCGGTGGTTCGACTTTTCTGGACTCACAACTCAATCATCGAGGATCAACCGCGCTGCGAATAACATTTCAGCGCGTGAGTAGCGAGATGTTAACTATACAGGAGGTCGTGAGTTCGACCCAGACCCTGTCGCCTGCTGTATATTTGGAGTTTGTGGGTCTCTCTCCCCGTGGTCGCATGGATTTTTCTCCGGGTCCTGCGCTTTTTTTCCCCACCACATTTAGAAACATGCATCTAGAGTATTTGGCTGCTATAAATTTCAACAAAAGCCACTTCGTTGAGCTATCATTTGTGGCCTGGTCGCTTCTGAAAAAGAGCTGTATAGCTCTGTGGGCCTTACCTGCAAAAATAAAACATAGTTTTAAATAGTATTTTTAACACAAATGGAAGAACAAATAACTCCTCTAAAAGCGCCGTAAAATGTTAAGTAAAATCCATAACAATTGTTAACTTGCTTTAACATACAGGAGTTGTACTTTATTATATATATACCGTACAGTAAAGGGTTGTGTAATGGGCAGCACAAAAATTGTGGCGTTTTGTGAACAAGACGTGTTTGTATTCTTAGTTTTTTCGGTAAAGTCACGTTGAAGGGAAACAACAAAATAATAACATATATAAACAATAAAAAAATTCTCACGACGTTTCGACCATAACTCAAACGGTCGTCTTCAGGTGTGTTGGTTTGCATAAATTTATTTTTAAACGGCGCATTTATTTATTTATAAAAACTTTAAAAACGTTCTTTTTAAACGGCGCATTTATTTATTTATGTTTTTAACGTTTTATAAATAAATAAATGCGCCGTTTCAAAATACATTTATGCAAACCAACACACCTGAAGACGACCGTTTGAGTTATGGTCGAAACGTCGTGAGAATGTTTTATTGTTTCATATATATTTTATTATTTTGTTGTTTCCCTTCAACGTGACTTTACCGAAAAAACTAAGAATATGAATTACTGCAGTCACGAAAGCTTTAAATCAAAATTTAAAGACGTGTTTGTGTTTGTGTAATGTTCCTTGGCCATGTCCCACGCCGGCGTTGTGGACCAACAGTGATTTGAACTCGCCACACCGCAGCTTCATCCAACTCCAGGTAAACACGAATCGTGTCCGTGCAATATCTCTCATAACGAGGAGAGATCTCCGTTACAGCCCTTGGGGTACGCAGTCTCATTGACACGTCTCCCATTCGCCAGATTACAGCCACTTTTAAAAAGCCACACGTCATCCTATAATCCTATAATCTTGCGTGGTAAGGTAAGATAGAGTCGTTTTATTTGTATATTTGTAAGTGTTTTATTTACCTTTCCTCTACGTTGTACTCCGATCGTGTTTCAGTATTGTTTGTTGTGGAAACGTTCTGAGACGCCCCTAATGAACATCTGTGAAAAGAGCTGCATAGCTTATCGGATTCCCGTGCGGTTATCGCGGTGTGAATTCGGCATGCCCCCCTGGTTAATACTACAAACACGCGGCTTTCGTTTCACCATAGACGTAAAAGATCCAGTGACGTCATTCGCAAGAGTAAGCCATTGTCGTCCAAATTTACCAAAACATCATTTTACAATTCGCAAATTACTGAAAGTGGGAACCCCTACTGCCAGAAGACCCGTCACTGAAGCGATACGAAACACAGCCACTGCGGTGCATACGCCCGCGCATTTAATATGTTCATTTAATATGTTCATAGGTCGCACAGTTTGCATAAGTTCAGTGCCAAACCATCGTCAGTTGTTCCGCAAGAGCACAACACAATTTCCATATTTTTATAATTTACGACTTGGCCGGCGAAGCTACGCACGAAGAAACACATTTACGCACTAAACCACTAAGGCACATTCACGTGCAACAGCAAAACCCGGGCGGCTGGCGGTGGCTTACGCACGTGGCCCTGTAACCCAGCACTGTGGGGGTCTAGAGTTGGTGGATCACGCAAATGTCGTGAAATTCCTGTCCAGGCGGGCGTCGAGGTGCCACGCCCCAGCTCGCCAGGAGACGGCGGCACAGCAGGCGTGGACTAATCCCCATCTGTTCCATCGACGGGACAGTGTTGGCACCTCCTCGCACGCTGTTGATGCTCGTTTTCGTCCCGCGTGTATCACTCGATAATTGGCTGGGGGAGGGGGGAATCGTAAAATAAAGCAGACCGCAGGGATTGGGCAATCGATTACATCACCGGCTCGTCTGCGCGCGCGTGGCTTCTGTCTGCCCGCTTTGTGTCGAGGCTCCTCACTCGCGCCTCTGGAGTCGTTCTGAGCGAAATCTGCTGCGGTGGCGCGCTACGAGGCTGCAATGACTGAAACCCCATGCGCAAAGTTCGTTCAGTTGGCTTTTGCCGCCCCCCGGTGGATCACCGTACACGTCCAGTAGCTGGCAGCGGTACATTTAGTCGGCACGTTGTGTTAGTGAAGTCAGCCAGTCCTGCAAGAGCAATGGTTCTCAACTTTTTTTTTAGCGAGGGTCCGTCCATAAATGACGTCACGCACTTTTGGACGATTTTTACCCCCCCCCCCCCCCCGTCGTCACACGGTGTTACAAAAAGTCAGATCCCCCTTCAAATATGACGTCACCAACCTCCCGCCCCCCCCCCGCCCCCCCCCCCCCAAAAAAAATAAAACATGATTCAAATCGTATTCTTGGTTCTTTCGGTAAAGTCACGTAGAAGGGAAACAATAAAATAATAAAAATATAAAACAATAAAATTTTCACGACGTTTCGACTGCAACACAAGCAATCATCATCAGGTGTGAAAACCACAGCAAGAAAATTTGAAAAAAGTGGCGGTTTTTTAACGTTAGCACCACGGAGAGCGATTTGAGAGTTTGTTCAGATGGACGAGTCCATCTATGTTCGGAAAGGAGGAGGGGGAGACGAAAAATAATGGATGCGGTCTGAAAGCCACCTTAAGCGTGATCAATCAATTAAAACCCTAAATGGTTTATAAAATCCTTCCAATGATTGCTAAGCCAGAATCCATCTTCTCGGTTGAAATTGTGTTTGCATATGTGGATAGCCTCATGAACGAATCTCTCATGGTAGCCAGATGGCTTGCAAATAACTTCTGTCTTGGAGAAGTCAATGTCATGTGAACCTACTGAATTATAACAGCACTCTGATGTTGCAGGAGAAAACATTTATTAAACGTATATTTAAGTAGAACGTGTTGTCTATATTTATTTAAAGTTGCGCATTTTGATGTGACGTCACATTTCTCAACCCCCCCCCCTCGTCACACATCGTCACAAATGTCTGACCCCCCACTAGGTGCGTGACGTCATTTATGGAGGGCCCCCGACTCCTTGTTGAAACTTGTTTCAACCGAGTATCCCTCCCCCCCTTGCCCGATCCAACATGGTTTTGAGAAATAAATGTATGAATCATGAACATCAATATTTTAACCAATTGCCCATTTGGCCAGGTGTCCCAACTCGCCAGTAATTGCAAGCGAAAAATAATCAACGACGCTCTTGCATTGCGTGGCGTTATTTCTTCTCGCTCGCTGTTTACCCTCGAAAGCAACACTGTTTACGATCAATGAGTTTAGAAAGGTCATTAATATCGTTCTAAGTTACCATATGGATGAACATTTGATCGCAGTTATTTTATATTGCCAGATTCTTCCGTGATTATTCACCAGTGACCCTCGTGTGTGATATAACTTCACAAATGTATACATCACCTCGCGCACCAACACCCCCTCCCCCCCCCCCCCCCCCCCTTGGTGACATTGCCACGTAGCCCCCAGGGGTCCGCGTACCCCCAGGTTGAGAACCTCAGTGCCAAACAACCCGTGCCTGCTGTATGCCGTGGTATGCCCAGGCTAAATCTGTGGATTCCGTTTTGGCCATAGATAAATGCGTTCGAATGCATATCTGTCAACCCCATATCAGTGCCCTACCTTATTACAGACCAGGCCCTTATTGGTCACCCCGTGCCCTTACGAATCTCAACGTTCATCCTACAAAGTCCCATCACAAGGGAGAAACACAAAGAAATAGACAAAAAAAAACACATTTGTTTCCCCCGTATTGAAACGGTTGTACGCCGTATGGACCTGAAAACTCAATTTCCCTGTACAAGAATACGGGGAAAACCGTGTGGGTTGGCACGGTATGTTGCCCTGTGCAAGGAAAGAAGAGCATCGTGGCGTCCCACAAGCCAGACCCCCAATATTACAACATGCCAGTTGTAAAATCACTCTCTGAGTACGAGGACACTTGTGTGCGTGTGCCGGTGCCAATAAGTAGAGACTCCACAAAGTAGTAATTCGCTGTACCCACGTTTATTTCGATTATTTTGTTTGCTATAAATTTCCGCACTTTGTTGAGCTGTCATTTAATGCCAGGTCTCTCCTGAAGAAAAGAAATTGCTAAGTGGGCTTTACTTGACATTTTGGTTCGTTTTATTTGTAGATTTGAAGCTATTTGTTTACCTATACTTTGCACTCATGTCGTGTTCTTTTAATTGTTTGTAACGTTCTGACCCGCCCCAACTGGACATCTGTGAACGCAAGAGCTTTATAGCTCATCGGATTTTCTCCCGCAGTCTGATTCATCAATCTGGGCGCCATGGCCCGCCCTCGATTGCGGCCACGACTCGTTACGTGGAATATTTTGTTTAAAAAAAAGAAATGCCTGCAACTGCGTTGTACTAAATTAACTCGGTAATTGGAACTTAATGCGATGGATAAGAAAAATAATAATAATTATTATTAATAATAGTTTAAACGAACACGTTGATGACATCTCGGCTTCGTCTCATTTCCGGGTCACTCTCCTGCCCTTGGCTGAAGCGCGGCGTCGATTCTTCGCGTACGACACAATTCGTGATTCAATGCACAAGGCCTTTGCCGCTTATGAACAATTCATAAGCGGTGACAATCGCCAACGCTCGCGGGAAGTTAGACGACCCCACGTCGATTGTAAATCTGGCGAAAAGCGTACGGACCTCGCGAATGAATTGCATTGCGTAAACTCACGTGAATGAAAACGGATCGATCGATACATTTGTAGATTCGATTCTCGAATCGTTAGGTGCGAGAGTCGCTAGAGGAATCGAGGCTGCAGCGCGGAGTCGATTCCGAGCATCGCGTAACCCTGAGGCTGTCTTAGTGCGGTGGAGTCGCGAACAAGAAGTAAGTCTCTCGCTTTATCGGCCCCGCCGCCCGGTGTTGATGATGGGCCGAGGCACTCGCCTTAAGAACGCGCCACACCCGTGTTGTGCAGACGTTAAAGAGTCAACGTGGATTTCGTTGTAATCCTGGTGTCGCGTTAAACCAAAAAAAAATCGCGTTTTTTTTCCGTTCAACCCCTGAACAGCCCGGTGGTGGACATTCCACATTCCCATGGCGGGAGGCGATGTCGTAAAGGGGACACGCGCTTTTGACATCGCGCAAGGTGGTGACCCGCCACCCCCACTCGCGTTATCCGCGGCTGAGGGTCGATGAGGTTTGTAGTGGGCCCTCGCGACCTTGTGAAGGCGAGGGCTAGGCCCGAGGGCTAGGCCCGAGTCCGGCGCTTCGCGGCGACCTCTGGGCGAGAGGTATCGGGGAAGCAACTCGAGACGCTCGGGAAAATGTTCAGTCGCGCCGGGAATGTCAGAAGGATGAGGGTTGCGATGGGGTTGGGACACGTGCGCTGCGCGGTTTGGGGAGGGCAGGTTACCGGCCGCGGGCATTTGGAGTGGCACCCAGACAGAGTAAGGCGACCAAAGGGCTCTGAGACAGCCTTCATGTGTCCGTCTCTTGTGTCCGTCTCTTGTGTCCAAGACCTTGCATATGAAGGGTTGTCGCCCTTGCAATAGTTGAGGGATCTAGCAAAAGAAGGAAGCGATTGCGACGTGTGCCACCATCAAGGACGTCAGTGCGGTCCTTACGTTCAACATTTGTTCGCACACAGCATTTTTAGTGACCCCTTGAAGCGTGTCTCTTTTCTTCATGCCTGCGTCTTTCTTTCTATCTCTGCCTCCATATGTATGTTTATATATGTGTCTGTCTCTTGTGTCTGCATGTCTATAGCTCTGTTTCTATTTTGTCTGTCTCCATGGCTGTGTGTCCCATTGTAACGGTATCATCTTCCTTTGTATTTGTGCTTATATTTATCCTTGCATTTCTCAGTGTGTCTCTTCTGCAGCTGAGTAAGCCGTTCCTTCCTCACTGTCTGCACACAGGGGCCCTGCTTTGTGCTGAGACGGTTCTGGCCATGCCGACCTCTTGACCTTCAAGGGAATTGGCAGTCGCTGTGTGACGGAGCTGCGTTTTGTGCGCGCCTGTGTTTGTGCAGAATGATTGCGAAGCGGCTGTTCGTGAGCTCCACTCCACTGCGGGCGACTCTAGCCCTGCAGCTCCGCCGCAACCTGGGCCTCTCGGCCGTCGCCTTTAATACAGCACGCCAGCTCGACCCCATCCAGAAGCTGTTTGTGGACAAGATCCACGAGTACAACACCAAGAGCAAGTGGGTCGAGCATCGATAGAAAACCAAAAAACTTACCCGAAGATGAAAGAATGATTGGTTTACCGTTGGAGATCACACCTTACACTACAGGGTCCTGATACATATGGGACTTTTTAAGAAAGTTGATCAATGCAACGTTTGGAATTGGCATTGCACACTGATATTTGTCACTATTAAATGTTAATATTTTTCTCAACGCCCGACAGTGTGAAATACATTCGCCAACTGTAAATACACGTTTCTGTCCTTTCTCTCTTATGAAGAAGGGCCATCACCCAAAATATCACTGTTTTTGCCGTTGTCTCCCATCCATCGATAACTTTGAACATATGTATTTTTAAGAAATCACAATACAAAAGATATAAAATTGCAGCAGTTCTTGAAATAAAATATGCTCCTATGAAGAAAAACGGCTGATTCACATAGGAAATTAAGAAATTCGTGGGTTTGGAGTTGGTTGGTGGCTCTCTGCAGCGCACATAATGTAGTGCCTAGTCATTCACCTCATTTAAAGGTACATCAGTCACATTAGTAGAGTGCTGTGGTGCCACTCGGGTGAATGTAGATTGCTTATTACAGTGATATATCATGATAGGTGTGGGGTGGAGCTCATCTCCTATGATCACTGTTACATTGCTTTTATGGCCTTATTTTGGTGATTTCGAAAAGTTTTTTGGTTTGGCCATGTTTGTTGTAGTACGGAGTTAGACTGATGGCCTTACTCAAAGTTGTCTTGTGGTTGATGTTGTTTGACTTGCATCCCACTGGGATTTTTGCACACAGCGTTGGTGTATGGTGCTTTTTCTGCAATATTTTGCTCTTTTCTTGGATTTTCTGTTTGTACAAAGTCACATAGTCACTTTAAGATGTTTTATTGTTCTTGTTTTTTGTGTGTTGCGGTTGCACCCGATTCAAGAGCCGAATGGCTCACAAGGCTATACCAAATAAATGAAACTGAACTGAATCTCCAGGTTACAGCCCTGAACCAGTGGTAAAAAAATCACCATTCCTACAACATGGCAGACATTTTATCGACCCCATAGTTAATTTCTGACTGCAGTGCTTTGCACTCGTCATTGTACAACCCCATTGGCTAGATATTAAACAAATGTGTTCTATAAGTGTTGTGAATGTATTTTGATCCTGTTCGATGATAGGGCTGCAGGCGGGCCAGTGGATGCCGGTGCTGAATTTCAGCGGAATCTCGCCGACGAGATGACCAAGCTTCAGCGACTCTTCGGAGGCGGAGATCTCACCAAGTTTCCTGAGCTGACATTCAAAGGTATGCCGCTGCCATCGTCAGGCTTAGGAGTGTAATGAGTGACATCCTCCACGGTTCAATTAATTGTCATGATTACAGGTTAATATTGAATTCATGAACATATTGTTGGCTTTTGTCATACTTTTAGCATAGTGGTGTAAATGAAATCTATTGTAGTTTGATTATAGAATCGGGAGTGTTGTGAATTTGTGAAGTCTCCAATTGTGTTATTCTGCAGAATCTGTAGTGGTATGATTCTGTAAATTCTGTAGTAGTTTTGATTATAAATTGTCGTGTTGTGATTATAGGGTAACTACATATGCATGGGAAGTAATTGTTATATAATTTGATATATGCAATGTTAGCCTACATTTTTTTTATTTTGAATTGTTATATGGCTATTGTTTGCTTAATGTGTCACATCAGTTATGTATCAATGCCTTACATTGTTTAAGACTCTAGAACTAATTATGCAAATGTATTCATGGTTTGCAGTAGAGCAGTGACGCAGCCCGGCGGTAGCGCAGAGGTTCGTGTTACGAGCCAACAGATACTGCCAGTGTCTTAACCCTAATAATATATTGCGTTGTCTGCCTCACAGTGGACGGTAGACATCCCATGGCATTATTCAAGAGTGTGCCATTTTTTTACTCAATTAGGGAAAATAGGAGTTGTTATCCTGATTGCAGAAACTCCTTCTGAAAAAGTCTTGAGGCTGAGTGAGGATTTATTGGGTGAACAAGCCTAATAATACAGAACTGCTTGTATGTGAACGTCACATTTTTCATAGCACCACGCTGCAAATTGTGCCAATTAAACTTTGTCCTCTGTGCTGTGAACATCCTACTAAATATATTCATGTTATCAGGTAGTGTTCCTGATTAATGTGAGTTTTCTATTATTTACTGATATATATTTGTTATGTTCATTAGTGTTGATTCTAAATTATATATTTCTCATTGCAGAGCCTGAATTTGAAGAGGAACCCAAGAAATGAAGCATCTGAAATTGGAAACATTGGATGCGTAGGAGTTAATATTTGTTTATCAGAAACTCTTCTGTATATGACTAAGTGAATAAACGATGTAAAACATTTTCATATGAGTGCATGCATTTCTTGGAATTATGGAAATTCTTAAGCACTTTAACATCAAGCTACATCATTAAACATGGTTAAGCAGACTCTTAAATCCCGTATTTTCTAGACACTGGATCAGAATGTAATGGTCATTAAATAAAACCAAATATTACTCTCAATACTTGCATCTAATTGTGCATTAAAATATGGGTTTTCCCTATTCATACCACAGTACAAAATAAAAAATAATGACTATTTTGCACTGCCATGGTAAATTGTTGTAATTAAATATTAGGCAATGGTGCATCGGTACATTTTTTTATTTCACATTTTAGTACGGTAATTCAGCTATCTGGAACCAAGTCTTCTGTAATAATGCTTGCTTCAGCAGGCAAACGACCCATTTATTAACTTTCTTTGTCTCATCAGCAAGAGTATAGCTTATTAAATTGTGTTGCATGATATATAGTGGGACTGTACATAGAAAAACAGGAAAATACAATGTTTTCCAAGATGTCCTTCCTGCTGTTAGATTGGAAGTGGTATGCATGTTAACACGTGGTTGCAAATGGTTCAAGGTTAATACCGATCGATTCTAGGAATGCAATTTTTTTCTGTTAAGTACGATTACTGATCTTCAGATTTATAGATAATTTACATGAGATTAGAATTTAACTACTTAACCATTAAAAACTATTGAAATAGCTGTTGGAGGAACAACAAGAAAACCACGAATGTTTTCCTTGCACAGCTTTTGAAGGCAGACCGGAATCCACAAGATAACAAACCGAGACAAAATAACGGAACATGTCTGAGGTCGTCCATCAAGGAGCAATAAAAACAGTTCGTGGTGCTAGATGAGTCGTTGGATCGTCAGAGGGCGCCACGGTGGCAAGATGTTAAATATCTCGCTGGTGTGTACAGGTCGTGAGTTCGATCCCGACGCCTGTATATTAGAGCAATACAATCAGCTGACAAACCTTACTAATTGGCTGTGTCAGGTGGTGGTGGGTTTAAACGACACATCGGATCTAACCAAACAAAGCTCATGGATAATATTGATCTCGAAAGCAAGCCTACGTTATCCTGTATACTTGGAGTTTGCATGTTCTCTCCGTGGTCGCGTGAATTTTTATCCGGGTCCTCCAGTTTTTTCCTCCACATTCAGAATCAACATCAGGCGTTCAGAGCATTTGGCTGATTTGCATTTCCACAAGATAAGCCACTTCGTTGAGCTATCATTTGTGGCCAGGTCGCTTCTGAAAAATACCTATATAGCTCAGTGGGCTTTACCTGGTAAGAAAACACGTTCATAGTTTAGTTGTGGCTTGTGGAGGCCTTGACCTAGTACTGCATTGATCATTGCCGATGATGGTCATACTAATTATATACCTATACAAAATAATCAGCGTCGTTGAGAATAATAAACTAAATGAGCAGACATACCCCTTGACAAGCATAAGTACATTTATGCATCCTGAGCCACATAGCCTCTTTGGAGGGCTTAGCATCAGCAGCCTTCGTTTAATAAAATCAAAACTGGACCAGTTTTGACATTGTCTTTCTCACCAATAGGCTTCGTCAAACCAATGCAGCTGAACTGGCAGATGTTTGGTCAATGACCCTCTGTTAGAGATGGATCCTAACACCTGTCTTCACACAAACATGCAATATTCTTGATTCAATCAGCCTTACGTTTCGACGCAAAAAATGTATTTTTAAAAAACTCCTCGGCCTTGGCGCATTCTGCAAACACCACCGGCAGTTGCTGAACAAGAGCATTGTGACACTCTTAAGCCAACCATCTAAATGTAAGAAAAACGTGACCCGACTGATATGAGCAGCAGTGATGAAGTAATCGACAACTATATTCTTGGTTCTTTCGGTAAAGTCACGTAGAAGGGAATCAATAAAATAATAGAAATATAAAACTATTGTTTTTAATATAAAACAATATTTTTATATTTTTAAAACAATATTGTTTTTTTTATATAAAACGATATTGATTTTTATATTTTTATTATATTATTATTTCCCTTCTACGTGACTTTACCGAAAGAACCAATACTATGAATCCCTGCAGTCACGAAAGCTTTAAATGAAAATTTAATCGACAGCTGTGTCGATGATTTACAGATGTCACTCGAGCTAAGACGGTCACTGCATCGCGCACTTTCAGGTGCGCTTCCGCGGCCGTCTGGAACGCTCTTGGGCTATCATTTGTGGCAGCTATGCACTTTTATATCATCATCTAGGATCTCGAGTGACGAACTCTCTGCTTCTTTGCGGTGTGTTGTCCTTGACCCCGGCTCATCCGATGAGCACGGTTGGCTACATACGGTGCAAAACGACAGTTCAGCATTTATACAGACACACGTAGAACATCATCGGCCACCCACACCGTCCTCGTCAACGTGGAACGTTGGGCCAGAATTTGTCCCAACGTCACGACGTTGACCCCGACGTTGGCCCCGACGTTGGGCCCAACGTTGCCGCGACGTTGCCGTGGTAACACGTGCCGGGTCTGGCCGCGTTTCCCACAAGCCTCTGCGTCGCGCGGTGCACCGCTGGGCCGGGCAGGCAGCGCCGCTGGTACGCCGCCGAGGTGAAGTTTCCGTGGCGATAGCCGAGTTGTATAGGTAAGATATAACGTGAATTATAATAATAATGATGATGATCGGACGTGTAAGATTATAATAAACGCGACGGGGCGCGTGTGGGATGCAAGCCGGGCTCGCTTGCTGCTCCCTGTGCGGTCCTTGAGCCATCATCAACGCGCGTGAGAGGCGCAGTAGGCCGCAACTGGCGGTGCATTCACTCATTCATGCAACGTCTCATTCGTTCATTAACTCATTCACGTCGTTACAAATGTAACCTATTCGTACGTTAATTCGTTCACCTATTCGCTAGTGCATTGATTGAGACCTCGGACTCATTCATTCACTCCTAGCGATGCATTTCATCCGTTCGTGCTAAGGGTTTCCACATTTCCCACGTCATATTCGCATGTGTCTCAGCCTACATCTCCAGCTGCTACTGTGATGAAGTGAAACACTACCGTTATCAGATATCGGCACTAAACAACTCCTGCCACCCGAACATAATTACAATTCCCGAACTCTCCGTGTACGATTCGGGACAGGTGGCAACACTAGGTCATGCACGAATGTACGTTCAATACTCATAAAATCACTCGTCACCTCAACCATTCCTTGATTCATTCCGTGCATACAATAATGGTTATTCGTCCATTCACTTATTTGCATACATAACGCTGTATAAAATCTAATTATTGGTTTCATTGTTTCTTGGACTTTATTGGAGCTTGAGTGCTCAAGTGATGTCTATATTTTGATGTTCTCGTATCTTTTTATTACAATATTTGTGAATACAAGATGTTTGTGCGTGTGTCAAAATGTTAAGCGTTTTAAAATGCATTAAGAATGAACTGTACGTTGAACTTCTTTCGCACCGCACGTAGCCAAACTCGCTTCTCGGGAAGTGCGGGTTGTACCCATTCGTTGGCCATAGTCGTGTATTGTTCAGGCGAGTCAATTCAATCTAATGTTCATTGTTAATTTAATTGAATCACTCGTGAGCCCATTCAATCACTTGCCCGTGAATCAATGTTTACTGTGCAGCAGTGGGGTATAATAGCACTTGAATAAAGCTTAATCACAGGACTAATACACTTATTTTAAACACTTGATAATGGGACTAGGTTTGTCTGTTATCCATTTATATATTTCCCAGTATAGGTAATTAAAGATTGAGAAACTTCACGAGAAATGCAATACATCATTAACATAACTACATATAAATGCAAACTGTATAAGTCTTCGAGTCTAAATATTTGCGTTTGCTATGTATGTGTCACTGGACACTGGGCAACCTTGCAAACGTATGTCAAGGGATATTCCATGTGAAATATTTTCATGCGTTTGTACCATCACTCAAAGAGCATTATCAGCATTGGCGGCTCGTGATATTTCAACTAGATGGGGCTGTTGTGAGACCTCCCCGAGGCACAAATCAGACCGTGGTGTTGCAGTGGTTTCTAAAATGAATAACTTATAATGTTATCTTCATCAGGAAATCCACGTTGAAAGAATCATTTTATTAAAACAAATTAAACACAACAAAATAATTTATTGAAAAGTATTTTTTAATTAGAAAAATGATTTCTCATCTCCAGCTGCTTGATGGGGCGGTTGCCCCAACGCCCCAAGCGGACGAACCGCGCCTGATTATCGGTGCTAATTTCTTATTTTTTGGATTCCCCAGGTAAGAATGATTGAAAGCTTTGGAAGCTAAACTGCAAAGTTGAATTGAGGCTCATCGAGGTAAATGGATACCAACGATTCAGAGCCACCATCCACAGGAAGAAGCTCAAGCCCAGGAGAGGGTGAACAGTCTCGGACAGATGTAGGAGGAGGAATCCGTATTGACGCTGGTGACATTGGTGAGTCTCAATCGGATAGACGAGGAGGTGGCAAAGTCACTCAGACGATCACTCACCACGATGATTTAGTTTTGAATCAGTTGTCAGTGCTCTGAGTTAGCATACAGAACCCAAAACGGAAACCAAGTTTTCTGCCGCCTGCTTTGTTTGCAGGTTCTGTAGTGTAGTGAGCTATTTGGCATGACTAAGTCACAAATAACTGTGCAATAGAGCGTTATGCTAAATCTGGATTTTTATTTTATTTGTCGAGTTCTGATGATTAAACATGTAGGTTTTTGAATACGAAGGACACTGCATTCTAAGTAGGGTATTTGACAAGGTGGTCTAGTGTATATAAAAATGCATCTGAAGGGATTTCATGTTTCGTCACAGAGGCTCTTTGACACAAAGTGATGTACTGTTCACTTTGAAAGTTCTGAATGAAAATGATGCTGATAGCTCAGTTTGATTATAATTGTCAGTGCTCTGACATTGTATTTACCCCTGAATTCACTTGGACACCTCAAGCACAAGAGGAGTATCCTGTTGATCTCTTGCCTGGTTAAGAATTCAACCTACCTACCTACACGCACACCTCTCATTGTCTCTTTAGTCTTGTAACTTGAGTTTTGTGATCCACGTGCAGGGTTCCGGTTTGGGCTGCGTGTTGAGCTTTCGTTCTGTCAAGCTTTTGCCAAGCACTGCTGCGGGTAGTTTCAGGGTTTCAGCCTTACCCAGAAAAATGCACTTGGGATTACAGTAGGCTGCTAAAAGCACGTGGTTAAATTTGTTTTACATGTTCATCCTTTGCCCTCAGCTTGCATGGAAAGAAGACGGCACCATGTATGTGCATTGTGTGGCAAAGTTTACCTTAGCGACTACAAGCTGAAGAAACATGAGAAAATAATGCACACAGGTGAGGTGGTGATCATTGTCACTTCTTCTCTCTTGCAAGAAAAAATATATATTCTTAATTTAATGGAACATGTTAGAAATATCATCTAATTTTTTTGTGCAACTGTATGTGACATTTAAACAAATATTTGAGTTTACATCATTTGAGGCCAATGTTAGATCAGTGTCAAAAATATAAACTTTTATTCATCCAATTCGCTTATTTTTTTATGAGAATGTTGTACTGTATTCGCACTGCCACCTTACAGTCCGTTTTTGTCTGGAGATTCCACTCATTTGTGATTCATCAACCCATGTTTCCAAGATCCTAGATTACAGACATGTTATTTTATTTTATCAATTTGTTATTTTATTCTCATTCTACGTGACTTTACCGAAAGAACTAAAGAAGATGTATCTCCATGCCAAGCTCTAATGTATTACCATATTTTAAATAGTGTTAAGCCATATAGGCCACTCTCACTGTCACCTGCAGAAGCTGTTGAGAAGTTGCACGCTTGTCCTCGGTGTGGCCGTCACTACGAGACAGACGCCCTCTTGGCTGCACACCAGCTCACACATGCCCACGACCGGCCCTTCCATTGTGAGCTCTGCGGCAAGAGCTACCTACAAAAGCAGGCTCTGCGCTGTCACACCAAGAGGGAGCACAGCAGCGAGCGCCCACACGGCTGCCACGAGTGCGGGAAGTCGTTTGTCCTCGCTTGGAGCCTCACGCAGCACCGCCGGCGTGTGCACGCCGCGTTTGGGACACGTCGCCCGCCCGTGCAGCAACACCCGCACGGTTGTGCGGAGTGCGGCAAGGTGTTTGCTAGCACGTGTGGGCTGGCGTGCCATCGCGCCACCCACTCCCAAACCCGGCCACACGAATGCGCGGAGTGCGGGAAACGTTTCAAGACGACGGAAGCTCTGTCTGGGCACGGGGCCCGGATCCACAATGCGCAGAGCCGCCCGTGCCTGTGCGAGGCATGCGGAAAGGCCTTCTTAAAAGTTGCGCAGTTGAAAGCCCACGAACGCACACACACAGGTGAGAGGCCGTATGTCTGCACAGTGTGTGGGAAGGCCTTCGCGCAGAGAAGCACCCTCGGCAGCCACGCGGCGACGCACAGCGCGACGCAGGCCTTCGTGTGCGAGGAGTGCGGCAAGAGCTTTGCGCGCGCGACGGGGCTGGCCGCTCACCGCAGAACCCACACGGGCGACTGGCGCCTCGAGTGCGGCTTCTGCGGCAAAGGCTTCTCCAACGCGGCGCTGCTCAGGACCCATGAGCGCAAGCACACGGGCGAGCGTCCCTTCGAGTGCGACGCGTGCGGCAAGGGCTTCAAGACGAAGGGCGCCCTCAAGGAACACGGACTGACGCACACGGGGGAGCGTGGCCACGCGTGCGCGCAGTGCGGGCGCCGCTTCTCGCAGCGCTCTGCGATGAAGCGGCACCTGCTGACCCACAGCGGCGAGCGGCCGTACGTGTGCGCGGAGTGCGGGAGGAGTTTCAGGCAGTCGCGCAGTCTGGCCGTGCACCGGCGCACGCACACGGGGGAGCGGCCGTACCCGTGCGACGAGTGCGGGAAGAGGTTCCGGGCGTCGAAGACTCTGGCGAAACATCGACGCGTACATGCGAGGGGAGGCATCGGGCCAGAAATAATGGAGGTTGCATCAAAGAAGCACGCGTGTCAATTCTGCCATGAGTCATTCACCAGGGCTGCCTCACTGAAGAAGCACATGCTGAAGCACGGTGGTGAGTGATTATAATGTGTGCACATACATATACAGCCATTTTTATCATTCCACCGCTGGCTGATTACCACCCCATGCTGATTTTGGGAATTATAATTCTTTAACAACACTTGATAATGCTGGTCAGTGCTGACTGGTGCAGTTGCGGAAAATATATTGGATCATAATACAGTACTACACTGGATTTTGCTGCACTGCCCTATGCTGATAACGTAGCCCCACATCAGTCTATAACAACTGTTTACGCATGGTGTTCACCCAGACTCAGTCCTAGATAGTGCTTGATCTCGTGAAATTTGATTGCACTGGAAGTGGGAATTTCACGATTGTATCCGCCTCTATGAAACTTCGCAATGGGGTATGATTCTGTCTCTCATCTACAGATGCTGGAGGGGATGAGAAGGGAGAGATGTTGATATTGCAAGAGAGCAGAGTGTGTGAAGAAGGAAAAGTGGCGGTTGTGTCATCTGTGCCTGAGCTCCTCCAGGAGAGTGCAGCATTGCATGGACAGCAGACGTGGCTGATTATGGGAGACCCAGACAGCCACGGTGAGGTTGTGCAGCACAAGTTGCACTTCTTACAAAGCAGTGGCTGTAACCATTTAACTATAAGAAGTGTCATGATCTTGGTGTGGTGACCAGACAGAATAAGCAGTGCAGATGTCCAGAAGAGATCATGGGAAGTAAGTTGTGTCGATATGATTAGGCAAAAACGGCCATGCTGGGTGGGACGTGCATGATGAAGGAGAGCCGATTACCGAGACAGACATTGGAGTGGTCTCATGAATCAAAAGATCAAGGTGAAGATCTAAGAGAAGTTGGTAGGATACTGTCTGGACAGATGACTGCAGCAGCTGTGGGATCTGATGGAGGGTAGAAAACGTTGGCAAGGTGCGATGGCATGAACGGCTTTAACTATGATGATGTCTTGATCATGATCAATTCTTGTATGCATTAGGCGAAACACCCTTTGCAAACCACAGACGTGTATAATGATGGGTGGCTCATTCAGATGTCTGTTCGATGGCAGGCCTCTTGGGTGGGCAGCACGTAGAGAGCCCTGTTGTGGCCCAGCAGGTGATGTTTGTCTTGCAGTCCGGGAATGGAAATGTTCAGGAGACCTGGGATGGCCTGCAACTGTTGGTGGAGAATAGGACTGCAGGTAAGGTGGTTTTGTCTTTTAAAATGATAAAGTAACACAAACAACACTCAACTTTTGTTTGTATGTGTCATTTATTAAACCAGGAGATTAACTAAACCCACTGACATGCATGAAACATTGTCTCTTTTGCAAGGGAGATCTGGGTGTCATTTTATTAATGTATACCCGGGCTCTGTGTGCGGGCTGTCCGATGTGAGTTTGGAATTTTATTGATAAAAATGTACTTGAGTTTTTGGAGTGTTAATTGATAAAAAATGTACTTGAGTTGTTGGAGTGTTAATGATGTTTAGGCTCGCCCGGATTGTGTAAGAAGCTCACAGATGCTCGACATATATGGCTATAGTTTTATTACAAGGTACTGCCTATCCAGTAGGGCAATATTAAAGCAGCATTTATTTCTGTCTCATTCTAGTTAAGAGTGTGGTTGTGCCAATCGCTGGTATTTTAAGCTCCAAAATATATTACGTCCCATGACTTTCATTCTCAAGCCTTCACCTCTCCATGTGGCCTGACTAAAGTGCACCTACCGTAGCACCATTGCTGTCTTATCGTCAATGCCACTTTACAGTAAATGTTCCTGTGTGTGTCACGGCACAAGACGGGCACCATCCCTGTGGTGGTGATCTCTGTGGTCCCACAGAGGAGCAGTTCGTGGCGGCGGAGGAGGGAAGCAAAGCGTATGAGATGCGTACCGAGGTGGAAGTAGAAGTCCCAGGTGGAGGTGCGTTGTGTGAGTTTTATTTTCAAACTTAAGACAACATTGTGTTTTTTTTTGCTACTTATTTTATTACCTATACATCACACACATTATTTAGAGATATAATTTTGACTTAAAAAATAAGTTACCTTGGGCAGACCACATTAGCTGGAAGAGATGATGGTCAACGGATGAGATTGGAGACAGAATGATATCCAAAAGAGCAAACATGCCCGAGAGAATGACAACCATGGAGATGGAGCTGTGACATTGACTCTTGTGTGGGAGTGAGGTGGGTATTGTGGGACCATGACAGATGGTCACGGCGTCTTTCGGATCTCTTTTCCTGTGAGGGAAGTGAACACGGGGCAGACAGTACAATGAGGATAGATAATACAGGCACAAGTATATGGAGGATCGTGTAAGATCGGAACATTTTCACTTTCTTGTACACTTCTACCATGATCCACGGTAATCTGAGTGCACTGCGCTTGCTTCTACAGGTTCAGGAGAGAACGTCCCGGATATTGGAGTCACCTTGAGCTACGAGCAGGTGGAGGAGTCGCAAGAAAGCCTGGCTCCAGAAGAGAACCCCGATGCTGAGGTAGTTGGGATGGGGTCCACAGAGGTACAAGGCTTACAGAAAGACCTTCCGCAAGAAACTCATCCAGCAAAAGCCTTTGAGGCAACCGAAGATGATTGTACGATGTCTGGAGAGACTGAGAACGTGGAGACAGGGACTGTACTTGTAGAATATGTCCATGCTGGAGAAGACGTGGGGTTTGTACACACGGATGGCTCGAAAGAAGATCCATTTCTCATGGAACATCTTCAGGCTGGTGCAACCTGCTTAAGGTCTGAGGAGATGGATATCTCACAGGCACAGCTGACCTTGGAGAAGCATCGCAAGGCTGAAGATGCTGTATGTTACGGAGAAATGGAGAATGTTAAAGAAGATAAAGCTGTAGTAAAGGACCCCCATGCTGAAGAAGTCTTCTATGCGACTAAAAATACGGAGAACTCGCAGACAGAGCCAGCTCCACCATATCTCTATGCCGAAGAAGTAGCCATGGAGTCTGGAGAGGTGCAGGACTTCCAAAAAACTCTAGCACCTTTGAAGGACTGCCAGGCTGAACAACACTGCCTGATAGCTGGAGAGATGGAAAACTTGCAGTCAGAGCTGGCTGCAGGAGATCCCCAAACAGGAGGAGCTGGTACGGCATCTAAAGACTTTAAAGATTTGGAACAAGCTTCAACTGTAGAAGAGGACCTGTGGGCTGGAAAAAACAGTTTCAGACCTGAAGAGGTGCAACAGGATGCAGGAGTGGCTCCTGAAGCTGGAGTATCTTACATTGGGCATGAAGAGTTCTCAAGTGGAGAGGCAGGGCAGCAGAGTGCTCAATTGCTGGTCAAGACCCATATTTGTTCGGAGAATGGAAACATTGGTATGTTAGTTTCACACACACAATTTAAGCATCTAAATTTAATTCCATAATAAAACTGCATTGGGTTTGACAAGACATGTCTCCCAAGTCCGACATGTCACTTCTTGTAAGGTAAGTTAGTAGAACACGGAGTTGCACAATTGCAGTGGATTTGCCAGGCATAGTGGCGTACGCTTATAATCCAGCAATTTGGAGGCAAGGTTTAGTGGAACAAGCACCAGTCATTGTGTGATGTGAAACGTATGAACCCGCTGGACTGCAAAGTGGCCAGCAGATAGTAGCACATAAAGTATGTTCATGAACCTATCTGTGCAGAACGTTCAGTTGTATCCATTGAAATACTTGGGCTTTCTCAGAGAACTCTGTTTCCTCCATCTTACTAACACAGCCGTGTCTCTATGTCATCTGATCGCTGCTGCAAAAATAAGACAAAATCAGTGGGAGAACCTTCCCATGCTGGCTTGCACACCAAGCGTCCGTCTTAGTTATACACGAAACCCTTGCCCATCGCGGCATTGGTTATGTTCTTGAATTAGCTGCAATCAGCAAATCTGTGATCCACAAACTCAGGCAAATGGGAAAACTAGGATTTGGTTCACCGTTTGTAATACGACACCCACCCCTCCTTTATTTTACTTTGCCCTATATTAACCTAAACATGAAACTGAACGTATTTTAACGTAATATATGATTAAGATTTTCCATAGTGTTAGTGTAACTCGTACAGTAAATGTATAGAATGTAAAACGTAATACATTGTACTGCGCTACACGTACACCTAAAAGTAAACCTGAAAATAACAAGGTTAATTATGCATCGCTCACCTTTCGCAAGTCGTTCTAGTAATTCAACTTTCTCAGAGACCTCACCTGCCGCTGCTTCTTTTCACTATAGTCACGACCACTTAAATTTATTTCAGGGGCCATTGCACAATAACTAAGGGTACTGATAATGTTATAAAAATTGTGCGGCTCAAGCCCACCACCTAACTGGATGCTTGAAGCACGTGAACTGGGACCCGCAATGGGCTGCACGGGAGACGAGATGGAGACAAGACGGCATGGCAGCATCATCTCGAGTGGTACTGTTACGATGCGCACATGAATCTCGCAGGCAGCCGTGAATGGTCAAGTGACAGGGGCGTGATTGGCGAAGTGTACCCTCAATCAATTTTCCGCGAATAGTCAAATCCGCGATGGGAAAACCCGCAATGGGCAAAGTTTTGGTGTATATTAATTTTGCCTATGGCTTTCTTCCCTCTCTTTCCATGTACCTCGTGCTTTTGCAGAAAGGTCATATCCTGAAGAGGCTGAAAAGGCGGATGCTGGGGAGATGGTCTCCACAGACTCCTCTTCATTGTCATTCCAAAGTGAGTTAGCTGGGTCATCTGGAGGTTGCAAAGGGAAGACTCAAAAGTGCGTGAAGTGCACGGGCAATATTGCATTCTCAGGCCACCTAGAGAGGAGGTGCACATGCGAGACATTCAGACGAGACTTGAAGAGGCCTCGTCACCTGGCCTGGCATCGGAAAAGCCACTTGATGACGAGTTCACTCTCCTTTGAGGCTCGTGGTAAGGAGTTGCCCGAGAGACACATGAAGAGCGATCGGGGTGAAAGGATGTTGGCATGTGCAAAGGAATTCGGGATAAAATCGAGCCTCGTCTCTCAATTGAGAATCCACATTGGGGAATGGCCTTTAAAATGCAGCCATTGTGGGAAAGGCTTCATGATCCCATCTGTGCTTAAGATTCATGAGAGGACGCACACCGGTGAGAGGCCGTACGTGTGCGCGGTGTGCGGGAAGGCCTTCGCGCAGAGAAGCACCCTCGGCAGCCACGCGGCGACGCACAGCGCGACGCAGGCCTTCGTGTGCGAGGAGTGCGGCAAGAGCTTTGCGCGCGCGACGGGGCTGGCCGCTCACCGCAGAACCCACACGGGCGACTGGCGCCTCGAGTGCGGCTTCTGCGGCAAAGGCTTCTCCAACGCGGCGCTGCTCAGGACCCATGAGCGCAAGCACACGGGCGAGCGTCCCTTCGAGTGCGACGCGTGCGGCAAGGGCTTCAAGACGAAGGGCGCCCTCAAGGAACACGGACTGACGCACACGGGGGAGCGTGGCCACGCGTGCGCGCAGTGCGGGCGCCGCTTCTCGCAGCGCTCTGCGATGAAGCGGCACCTGCTGACCCACAGCGGCGAGCGGCCGTACGTGTGCGCGGAGTGCGGGAGGAGTTTCAGGCAGTCGCGCAGTCTGGCCGTGCACCGGCGCACGCACACGGGGGAGCGGCCGTACCCGTGCGACGAGTGCGGGAAGAGGTTCCGGGCGTCGAAGACTCTGGCGAAACATCGACGCGTACATGCGAGGGGGAGCAGCTTTGCTAAAGTAGAGAGGCAGGGTGAGGCGGTAGTGCCTGAACGTATGGCACGTTCTGAAGAAGAGGAGCTTTTCTCACACCCAGGTCACACGTAATGGACTTCTCCCAGCAACTTTGACACCAGATCAGGCTCGTCTACTTCAAGGAGAAAGCCTGCGTATGCCTGGCTTGGTATTTGAGTGATAACCATAGGGAGAAGTCTATTTCATCGTGACACACTAAACATATGCAACACAAACACGTGCAGTGCAACAACACGGAATACAATTAATATGCTGGTGGACTGTGGGTAATCAAATTTAATAGACCGGAATTTACCTTGCTACCAAAAAATAAAGCAACATGTTCATCAGGAATACTGTTTCCCAGATGCGTGTTTTTGAGCAGGACAGTGTTGTGTGTTTGTCTTTTTTTTACTTGCGGTGGCCTTTTTCTGCCAAATTGTTCTGCCTTGTTGCTAAACCAGTTTCTCAAGGGTACCAAGTTGATGGTCTTGGCACTCATTAATGAGTGCAAGAAACAATATTCATTTGTATTCTTGGTTCTTTCGATAAAGTCACGTTGAAGGGAAACAATAAAATAATAATATATATAAAACAATATATTATAATTTTATTGTTTTATATATTATTATTTTGTTGTTTCCCTTCAACGTGACTTTACCGAAAGAACCAATAATATGAATCACTGCAGTCACGAAAGCTTTAAATCAAAATATTCATTTGGTTTGTTGCTTCATTTGGCATTCACAAACTCTAAATAAACCGTTTAGTTTAATTGTTAGGTGAAAAACACTGCAAGGCAAATACAGACCGTCGGATAGTGCGATTCAGAGGCTGTTGAAGGGACTTGAGAAGTCATGTGATTACATTTTTCAGTGGCCATTCTCACATGAGGTGCCAGAATTCATGGCAAGAGTTCTAATTGGAAACTTTGTTGACATTGCAACAACTGGGATCTAGCAGAAGGAATTGGTGATGAGATCGCGTCTAAAAGCACTGGCTCTGATGACCTAACATCGACCTTAATTTGCATGTCCTTTATTGGCACTGTACCGTGTGGGTTTATTTATGTAGTTGGCCTATGCCAGCCAGGCTAATTTAGGCACAGACTTGTTCCCGTTATTGCCCGACTTTGTAATCTTGCAGAGGCTGGTGTCGGCTGTGGGGTGAGTTCCATGCAGACTTTGCATGTGCTCTTCGGGTCAACCATTGTTTTCATGTGTTTATATGCATGTGTGTAGGTCGAATCAGCCTTACATGAGTCCGGGGTGTGATGTGTAACCATCAGCACTGGGTAGACGTGCAGCCAGGCGTGGCGATAGCCACAACAACCCCTTATAGGTTCGCCGTGCTGGCCTGAGCTGCTCACTAAAAGCACTTAGCCCAACAGCGTGTGCAGGTTGCACGGGTCATCTTTGTGTATACTTATACGGTGTCCATGTTTGTGAGTGGGAAGGGGAAAGAAGGAGGACCAGGTCCCCGCTGCCACCACCCCTGGCAAGAATTAAATGAATAAAACCACACATAAACATGGCAGTGGTGATGAATGTAATGGTGATTGTATTGGTGATGGTAATGGTATTGATTGATTGTAGAACTTCTTTCGCACCATACGTAGCCAACCGTGCTAATTGGAGGTGCGGAGGAAGAACAACAAACTAAACACAAACTGCAGTTATAAAGAAATTAGTTTCCAATCTAGATTTAAAAGTGCACCGCTTCAGTGGCTTCCTAATATCGGGAGGAAGAGCATTCCATACGGCCGCAGAAACGCATCTGAAAGCGCGCATTCCAGTGGCCGTCGTTGTTCGATGGTTAACCAGAAGCCGCTGCGAGGATGACCGGAGTTCGCGTGATGGCTTATGCTCCTTGAGATCAGCAAGGCATTGTGGTTCATTTGTGGGAAGCACTTTGTGTGTAATGAGCACTTCGTGTAATTGTAGCGGTGCTTATTATGGTGACGATATTGGTGCATTTGGTGGTATTGATCAACGGTAGTTGTGGGTATTATTCCTTTCTTACTTAACGCCATCCAATTCTTGTGCCTCTCGCTGGAGCTGGTGTATACTTATGAATGCAAGTGTGTGTGTGTGCGCGCGTGGTGTTTCTGTCATTACACTCCACCTGACCAGTCATGTGACTTTTCTTTTGTTTCTGGAGATTGTGTTTAGTGCCAAATGCACACCTTGCCCAGACACAATGACTTTTAGATTTGTCCAATTGTAATGATGAACATTGGCACATTTTCTCCAAACACAGTAAAATCTGGCCGCACCTGAATTAGTCCTTGAATTTGGCACGAGGAGATCTGTGGCTTAGGGATATGGACAGGAGGCTAATGTAAAATGAACACCGAACTGTAAGTGGAATAAATAATCATAGGCAGTGGAAGAAAGGAAAGTTTTCAACCATAACTTTAAACGGAGGACGGAGTTGGCATACAGACGACCACACGGGCAGGAAAGTTGCAACCTTATGGGCACCACAGTGGCGAGATGCGAACTACCTCGCCTGGTATATCGGAGGTTGTGGGTTCGACCCCGACGCCTTTATATTTGAAGTTTGCATGTTCTTTCTGTAGTCGCGCGGATGTTTCTCCCGGTCCTCCGGTGATTCCCTCTACATTTAGAAACATGCGTTTAAAATATTTCGCTGAAATACATTTCTAAATGATGGCTGCTGTAAATTTCCACGCGATAATCCGCTTCATTGAGCTATTATTCGTGACCAGGTCCCTTCTGAAAATGAGCTATCTAGCTCAGTGGGCATTACCTGGTAGTAATAAATTGGTTTCACTGAAAATACTGACAGATGGCTTTTTAGACTGGAGCAGAGGTTATAAGGAGGAAAACAGTGAGGTAGGAGAAGATGGCAGGAGCATGTCCATATAAATTATGGAAGAACATTGTTGTAAGAGAGTTCTGAGGATTTGATATTATGGTCCCATTGCAAAGGCGGAAGACAGAAGTTTGGCAGCAGCATTCAGGATCATTGAAATGTTTCGACGAGGTATTTGGTGTAGCTGTAGATGTTAAAATAGTCAATAGGAAATATTGCGAAAGCATGGATAAGGGTCTTGGCAGCAGATAGGGAAAGGGAATGCCAGGTGATGGCACATGCTGTGTAGTTCGGGGCAGTTTTTGCCCAACTTCCTAGAAACCTTTAAAACGTCTTATTGTGATGATTGGATAGTCAATATGTTTTCCTAAATCTGTCGAGGTGGCACAGTGGTTAGACCACATGGCTTGCAAATGGAAGGTTTTTTCATTTAAAATCCAGGTTGAGGAATCAACTAAACTCTTCATCCCATGGGAGGATGAAATAATGAGTACCACTTTGTGGGAAGTCGGAACTTTTTCTATAAAATCTTGATAAGGATTCTAGAATGTTCACCGTTGGCTTGGGGCCATAAACAGATAAGCACCTCACCCCCTTGCTTGTTGGTGTAGATATCTCATTTGATTATCACGTCCTGTATCATAGTTCACCCTGAAAATGTATCTTAACTTTGTCAAATAATTACAGTTATCATAACCGCAGACATGGCAAGAAAGACGGGGACGGGTGGTGTCATGCTTCGTCATGAAGAAGAAGATGAAGAAGGCGCAGATCCGCCGAGCATGGTTGAGCTTAAGAAGCTGCTGCGCTCAGGAGGCGCTCGATACGAACACATGGACGAGGTGTTCCCTGATGTCTACATTGGCAATGAGTAAGGAGCAAAGCGCATGGCTTGGTCCCAAAGTGGGGCATTCACCAGTCCCATGTCCACTGTGGGTGCAACGTGGCAATTTCTCGGGCCACAAAAAAAAACCACTGGTTTTATTGTCAAAACATGGATCAATTCCCAGGTTATTAAAGTGCACGAATATCCACCTGCTTGGTAATTACACTGACAGAACTGGTTCTTTTTTAAAACTATGGCCATTAAAGGATCATCTGGTGGAATAGCACAACACTGCAATTGCACACGTGAATAAACAACCACGATTGTGGCAACTGCTGAAATTGCGAGCATGTGGAAGCTCGTCTCGGTTAACGAGACGATTCCACCTTCCTAACACATTTTCCACTGGCGCATCCGAGCTGTGCCTTGTGCCGTACTCTGTGAGCCCAAAGCTTGTGTGACAGGTGTGTAGCATTACCTGGATGAATTATCACCAAAGTTGCAGTCCCCGTTTGAAGAATTCACTTAAAGGTAGTCTCTCTGCAGGATCGGTCTCCACTGCCCCGTAGCTCCACCCCACTGGGCAGTCTTAGCCAGGGACACGCCCACCACCTGTGGTTTTGGCCAGGCTGCAGAGAGGTGCGCTGTGTATCAGCTGGTACTGCATTGATGGCCAGGCTTCGGAGTTTTTATTTCAGCCTCATTCAGTTTATGACTGAACTCCAGCCTGTTGAGCCCCGTTTCAGGATTCTCTTTGCGACAATGCACGGCCAGATGTTTCAAGATAAATGGGGACAGAGCTCATAATTATGTTCTGCTGACCCAGGAAATGGCAAGATTCAGTCTCCGTAATCGATATACAAATGAGGCTTTGTGAGCTTGGCCTGGTGCTCTTTCCTGTCCCCCGACTGCAGCCGTGTGTCCTAAATGTTTTAAATAAACAAACATTACTTTTAAACAACGTTAGGCTTTTAAAATGATATTGTTTATTAAGATGTATGACTATGTAATGTTAAAATATGGCTGAGAAGTTGCGACACCGTAGAGTGAGTGACATGGCGCTTCTCTGTGCTGGGGTAACCCCTTGAGATCATGACTCGTTGCAGGGTTGATTCAGTTAAAACGGGGGTCACAATACTTCTTAATACAGCCCTCGAGAAAAAACTAATCGAGAACTGCACCACCAAAGTGGGCCGCCATGCGAAGTTCTCAAACTCGGCCCGGTACAAGTACGACAGTTCCATTAAAACCAAGCTCATTTGTTGCGACACCCAATCCGTGACTCAGAAATGCAGCTCACGACCTGCGGCGCCTCGGCTCCATGGGCTTCACGCACGTCCTGAATGCGGCGCATGGCTCTGGCTGCCCGGCCGTGGGGCCAGAGTATTACGCACGTGTGGGTGATATCGCCTACCTGGGCCTGCCCGCCGATGACTTCCCCAGCTACGACATGCGTCCTCACCTGGTGCCGGCATCGGACTTCATCCACGCAGCTCTACAGGCGCACGGTGAAATGCGGAACCACAGAGAGGAACATCTATCAAAAAGTTTCGGATGCTACCGAAATGTCACCATCGCATATTTTCACCGTTGTCCTCTGCGCTGTGCGTCTCACATTCAGGTCGCGTGCTCGTGCACTGCGTGATTCACTGCTCGCTGCACCGCGTGCGTCTCTCGCCAGGTCGCGTGCTCGTCCACTGCGTGATGGGCCGCAGCCGCTCGGCGTCCCTCGTCCTCGCCTACCTCATGCTGCGCGTGGGCCTTCGCCTCTGCGCTGCCGTGCGCGCCCTGCTCGCCCACCGCTCCATCTTCCCCAACGACGGCTTCCTCCGCCAGCTGATCGACCTGGACCGGGAACTGCTGTGCCAACGTCGACAGCCTGACTCCGTGTCACTCGGGGAATCGCTCGGGATTTAGCTCGACATTGCCTAAGTGGTATAAGAGCAGTTTCCCAACGCAGAGAGTTCAGCGAGAACAATCCGCCAGCACTATTGAGATCCTGCATTCAATCCCCATGGTTCAGCGTAGAATTCATGAATTCAGTTTAGTGGCACCGATGCAAAACTGTCAAGATCCTGGCTCGGAGCTGTCTTTTCCTCGTAGGACTTCCAATTGTAATTTCAGACATTAATTCAACACTGCTGATATCCTGAGTTAAAGTCGTGGGGATCAGCATGAATCTGTGGCTCAGGGGTGAAATAATTCATAGGCTAAGCTGAAGATCTGGGTAATAGTCTGTGGTTGAGTGATACAGGCCTGTGCGCAGTGCTCGGGGGTTGGTGGATCGTGCAAGCCTCACAGACAAATCCCGCTGAGCCGTGGGACTCCTCACCTGGAATGCTGTTGAATGTATATCGGTGAGGGGCCCACATTTGAATTTGTAGACTCGCTGTGATTTTGTTCATGTAAATATGAATTTGTTTGGTTTAATTCCAACTGTAATGCCTAGTCTGACAGTAAGTTATTGTGTGTGTATGTTGAGCCTTCCTGTGAGCTCCAGTTGTGTGTGGCCTGACTGGTTTCTGGGCCCAACCATCACCTAAAACACCTTGACGGACCACGACTGTGAAGACACGTTCCCGTGTAGGCTCGTAAATAAAGCTCACACCACAAAGTATAAAAATAATAATTGACGTATCTTATCACGACACTACATTTCAGACAAGTATTCAATCGCCGCAGAGATAACATAGTTACAGCAAAAGTTTTGTTTTATATATTGTCAAGCAAGGGTCTAACCACTTGTTCCTCTGCGCAGAGTCTAATGGTTGAAACATTTCAGCAGATAATGTTCGTGAAGGATGTGGGCAAAAGTGTGAGATGTCATTTCTTGATTTACTCTGTGGTCCATACACTTCCCACATGATCAGGGTCACGTAATCATTTTTCAATTAACCATAAACTGAGGTTATAAGAACAATGCTGATGTAGGATTCTCAATATTCATTGAAATAACAAAAGCTCAGAAGGCAAAAGAAAGCACCCTATAAATAAACATGACGATACATAACACAATCGGACTACATTGACGTTTATTGTTTGAGAACCAGTTGAACATATGATCTAAGTTTGATCTAAGAATAATGTTTAGCCTTGCTGAGGTAGACACATGGAGTGCATAGTATCGTACGCGTACATAGTGCCCTAACAGCTGATCAGTAATGAAGGTTAAGAGGTAATCAAGTGGATGTCAGTGCACTTTGCCATTGCTTCCTTCCATTCGCTACATCACGAAGTTGCTACAAAGTTGACACCTGATCTCTAGGGTCTGCCCTCACAGTGCCCTGCTGCATGGCTTTAGTGTTCCCCCTTCGTTATGGAACCACTCCTCCACGGAGATTCAGTGGAAGGATCACGATTCGGAGTCACGATTCCTATCATGAAGCACTCCATTGTTGTGTGTGATGCATCGCTCGTGGTGCGTAAATAGTAAATATTTGCAAATCCTAGCACGACACACACATTGGAAATATTCAAATTAATCGCCGAGTCTCCATTCCTGTTTGTTATGTTGTCAACATGTTCTTAAAGGGACACTGACATTGTCCGTACAGTAACCTGCCATCTGTATGTAACCCTTCCTCTTGGTCGCAAGAGGTAATAATGGTAGGTGAGTAAACTGTTTTTAATCCTCTCTGGAAAGATCCACATTTCTTGTGTCCGAGGTGAAAATCCTCTTGCTGATGATGATCGCGAATGCTCGTCGGAATGGTCGGCTAAAGAGTGCGTAGAGCACGGGGTTGAAGCCGGAGTTGATGTATCCCAGCCACACGACGACGCTCCACACCACCCCACTTGTCTGGAAGTGTACGAACACGTCCACCAGGCTCACCACGATGTACGGCAGCCAGCACAGAAAGAAGGCCCCCATGATGAGGCCCAGTGTCTTGGTGGCATTGTGCTCCCGCTTGAGGGCGTTGCCATCCACCTGCTGTTGGTGCTGCGAGTGAACCCTCCTCGACTGATCGCGCGCCACCCTGTAGATCTTCCCATACGCCACCCCCATGATGGACATGGGCACCATGAAGGCACACACCGTGTCCAGAAGCACAAAGGTAGTGTTCTTGAACATGACGCAGCTGTCGGGGCAGGTCATGCTCGCCACTACCTCCTCGATGCCGATGATGTTCCAGCCGAGCATTATGGGCGCCACGTAGATGACAGGAGCCACCCAGCAGCCGCCCAGCATCACGACCACCTTGGCCCTGTTCACCCGTTGCGTGTAGCACAGCGGGTGGCAGATGGCATTGTAGCGGTCGTATGCGATGCAGCTGATGTGAACGATGGACGCCGTGGAGAAGATGTAGTCGAGACTCGTGTGAATCTTGCAGAACCATCGGCCGAAGAACCAGCAGTTGTGCACGGTCTTGAGCATGCTGAAGGGCATAATGAGGACGCCCACGAGGAAGTCGGCGAGCGCCAGGGACAGCGTGAAGACGTTCATGCGCGACTGCAACTCTCGGAAGTAGGCGATGGACGCGATGACCAGCGTGTTGCCAACAGCGATGGCCACGATGCAGATGACGAGCGCAGTCTGCACGAGAACGCTGCTCGCGTAGGACATCTCGGGCGGGGGGCACAGCAGCTGGAAGGCGTTGAGCACGCAGCTACCGGAGGAGCTGTTGGTGAGGTTGGCGATTTTGGTGAAGTTTGGTTCCATCGTGCTCTGTGCTATTGTCTAATGTTACATGCAGTTCACACGTAGTGTAGCACAGAGTGGAGAAACATTGGGGGCGATGTTCAGGACCTGCTGAAGCTGAGTGCACTTGCCGCTGGATGAAGTTCTGTGAATGATTCTCAGTCGTGCCCCAGGGGGCTAATTCGTCATGTCAAAGCTCTGAGCCAGCACTGCTGAGATCTTGGGTTGAAATTTGGATTTCAGCCGCCCATTATTAAACTGGGTTCTCAACTGCATCAAGGTGCGACATGGGACCTTGCCCAGTCAACAATGACTGCACCAAAAACCCATAATGTAAAATGTGTTAGCTTTTAAAATTTTTTTTTTCATTTTAAAGTTTCACGATGTTTAGAAATGCATATTTCGTGAAATGAACATCCTTTGCAGGAGCACGTTAAAATTATACCCTAGTGTTGAAAAGAGGTATTTTGAATTGACTTCAGAATGTGTTCTCTGACGCTAGAGGATACACTGCACACTGCGAGAATACAAAAAAAAACGACATGATGACATGAGAACAATTGGAAGCTATGATGAAGAAAAGAGCAAAAAGAAAATATTGATCGTTCGAGAAAAGGAAGAACGACACGGCGACCAGCAACGTTTCATACGACATGCAGGGTACAGCTTTTGGAGGCGTATGGGCGCAACTGATTGGAATATTGTCTCGTTTAACACGTAGGCTTTCGCGACCAATATTTTCCAAAGTAAGGAGGTTTTTGGGTTAGAGCACGTCAATATATATGCGTCGTTAAACCACCACCCGACATAGCCGATTGGTAAGGTTTGTCACGTGAACAAAATATGCCAATTATTTACTAGTTCAGCACACCGGTGTGTTGAAGAGTAAACCCACAACATTGACAATTGGAGTACTGTGACGTTTCAACCGGTAATTCTCAACAGCCTCATCAGGCGATGGCGAGAATTGTGGAGAAATCCTCCTGTTTCGGTCTTGTATACAGGTGGGCTAAATGTGATGTCGTCACAGTGAGCCAATCAGTAATATTAATTACAATGGACATCTAGAATTATTCGATGGCGTATTCACAGTTAATCAACATACATTATGTGTAAACATTATAATGCACATGATGTATGTGCATAATGTATATACATTATGTGTGTACATTATGTATGTACAATATGTGTGCACAGTATGTATATACATTATGCATGTACATTATGTATGTATATTATGTATGTGCATTATGTATGTTTTGCAGGCCCCACACATTGAAAAATCAATACTCTTTGGTTCTTTCGGTAAAGTCACGTAGGTAGAAAAATAGAATACAACTATAAATAATAAATCACGACGTTTCGATCGCAACACAAGCGGTCGTCCTCAGGCGGGAAAAAATAATTCAGCAGGGGAACTGCTGAACCAGTACTGTATTCTTTTTTGTTTCATTTTATTTTAATTTTCTACCGAAAGAACCAAAGAGTATGGATTCCTGCAGTCACGAAAGCTTAAAATCAAGATTGAAATAACTATTATTGGCTGCTCAAAGTTAATCCCCATCGACAAATAAAAACAAAACTGTTATCAACATTACTAACATTGAAGAGACAAACGATATGATATCAGTCCTGTCGATGAGATAATTGCTGAAGTGGAATCAGCAGTTAGACATCTCTCGCATAATCAAGCTGAAATTACTAGGCATGAGGTTGCTAAAATATTCTTTGGGTCTTTAGCGTAAAGTCACGTAGATAGGTTCCAAAATTAATAAAAATATAAAATAAACCAAAAAAACTCCGACGTTTCGATCACAACACAAGCGATCGTCATCAGGAGGTAAGAGGGGGGAAGCTGCTGAATGCAGAATGTTTTATAGGTTTAAAATGGGTGTAGTCCTAGGGTCATAAACGAAGTGGGCGGGTCTAGTGACGTCACAAAAGCTTTAAGTGAAGAGTTGATCAAATAATTGAGAAGGGTACATTTCCAAAAACAAACATTAGTCTCATTGAGGCTAAAGCCTTAAGAAAATTGGAAGCAAATAAATATATCGAAATTCTTGCTTCTGATAAGGGGCGATCAACTATTGTGATGCCTCGTGAGGATTAAAATAATACAATCAGAGATTTACTGCATGAAGGTACCTACCTTAAAATTAAACGAGACCAAACCAATGCCTTGGAACGTAAGACGACTGCAAGCATTGCCAAGTCATTCATTCCCAAGGAAGAGCAATACCTGTTCAAACAAAGGGCGTCAAAACCACACAGACTGTATGGGTTGCCAAATATTCACAAACCTGATGTCCCATTAAGACCCATAGTACAATAGGCTCTGCCACATACAAATTAGCACAATACGAAACAAACAAATACAGCCCTATATCGGCAGGACCTCCGCATTCATTAAACAACTCTTGTAAACATAAGAACATCTTGTAAATATAATTAAAGATATTAAGCTTAACCCTAATGATATTCTCGTAAGTTATGATGTAACTTATCTGTTCGAGAGGGTTTCGGTGAACGAGTCTATCAAATGACTCGATACTCTGGTAACACAAAACAGGTTTACCCAAAGATATCCCACGATTAGCTGAGCATTGTCTAAACAACACCTATTTCTTATGTAAAGGTGATATTTATAAACAAAACGAAGGAACAGCAATGGGCTCTCCATTGTCTCCTGCGATTGTGAATCTGTACATGGAAAAGCATCTTCAAGTATACTAAAGCCTCTAGTTAGTTTGGACATGTGGATGATAAATTGGTGGTCTGGCCACACGGTAATGGTATACTTAATGAATTTCTAAATAATCTCAACTCGCAAAACCTGTCCTTCCAGTTCACCATGGAAGTGGAGGTGAATAAAACTGTGGAGTGAGATTAAACATGTTAAAGAAGCGCTTCAACTTAACGGTTACAATGATGCACAAATCAACACAGCACTTAATGCCAAACCCGAATCAAATAGCACAATTGTTGAAATTGATCAATCAATTAAAACTATAAAAATACCGTACATTGTTGGAGTAACTGATAAACTAGCCAGATTTTTGGAAAAACAAAACATCCAAGTGAAATTTGGCACAGTACATAAATATAAAATCTAATATCTAGTACTAAAGATGTTTACCGAAGCAATCGACAGAAGGTGTGTACCGGAGTAATTGCTCATGTGGCAAATGTTACGTTGGTCAGATGGGACGAATGATCAGCATGAGACTAAATTCTGATCAGACTCCCAAATACAACTGTCAGCAGTTGCAGAACACGCGTACCAACATGAACATTCAATTTATATTTTATAATGTTGAGGTTTTGTGCAAAACTAATTACGACTGGCCAAGACAAATCTATTGAAATTGAGAGAAATACAAATAATTTTAACCTTTCTGATAGCTACAGAAGGATGTATCCACAGTGATAGCTATCGCCTGATGAGGCTGATTATAATTCCTGGCGAAAAATCAAAGGACTCGAATTGTAAATGTTGTGGGTTTACTCTCCAACACACCGGTGTGCTGAACTAGTAACTAAATAGCATGTTGTGTTTACGTGACAAACCTTACTAATTGGTTGTGTTGGGTGGTGGTGGGTTTAAAGACACATTTCTATTTACGCAATCTAAACAAAAAAACTATATTATGTGATATTGGATATTCCTGCCTGTTCACAAACTACTTGGGTCTGTCTAAGGCAGTGACTTGGGTCAGAGTGAAGTCCCGCTCCACCGATGTCCGTGACTATCCTCCAGGTGGTCTGCGGGGATGTGTTGCAAATGCAGGTTGATCCGGAAGTAGTGACAACGTTTATACCCTTTGTTTTGGACATTCATATTTTACTGATGATATTGAATTTTAAAATGAAGTTAGGTAAACTACCCCGATTAATCTACCCTAATTCTAAGATCTAAATGCCCCACCCCCCACAAAAAGCCTTATAGCTGCGTTTAAACATCTGCATGTTCCAATAATATGAATACTTTAGTATTAGTAATATTTAGAGAGAGCAGTCGATGCGTTTTGTCACCAGGGGTGAATGGGCTGGGTAGTCCACGGAAATGTTTGCATCGGCTGAGCGGTCCACAGGCCACAAGTTTGAGAACCGCTGGACTAAGGTCTTCGCTACCATAATTAAAGCACTCTCTTGAAACCGCCCATTAAGAGTTCTTCACTGCTACATCGATCATTCCTGCGGCTGTCCTTCACCTCCTATTAGCACCGTTTGGCTATGCACGGTGCGAAAGAAGTTCAACATACATTCGATCAGCTTTCAGAAATCCTTCACCGGCCCTCCAACTCTGCCTCGTTTTCTATAATTTTCTTCAGAAATCCCTTATTGCTCCACATGCAAATGCAATTTGGATGTATGTAACATCTAAATATAACAGCATCTCAAGACGCTGCGCAAGACCAGTGTGACACAAGCATCACAGGGATCTTAATATGTGCAGTATATAGAAACATTAAACTCTAGAGCATCTGTTCCCCAAAACAATGAGGAACGCTAGCGGAACGTTTTGAGAAACAAGACACGGTTAAACGTAAACACTTTGTTATTTTAAAATTAAAATAAAATAATGCTCCAATATATCGTTGATCTGAAAGAAAAAAAACAGACAAAATCATAACGTACACGAATGAGAAATAAATTACAACAAATGCAGCCCCCCCCCCCCACCGGTGTCTAAAATGGTCTGGACCAGAGAACTCCTCGCGTGCTCGCACTGACCGCGACCTCTCCCGCTGCTGCTGCTGCTGCTGCCGTGGGGAGCGGTGGTGCAGCGGTTAGCGCTACGCTGCGCTACGAACCCGGCGAGCTCCGAATTCGATACCCCGCTCACGGCCACCAACACCCAGTGACGATTATCTGAACCGGTCCTGCGCCTCTCATAGGTCGACTCAGCCTCAAATGACTACCTGGTGCGGTGTGTAGTAAACATAGACCACTGGGGAGACAAAGGCGGCCGGGCGTAGTGCTGGCCACCCACCCCCTCGTGTGCCGTGCCGGCCTTCGTAGGTGCTCGCTAACAGCACTTGCTCCGCCAGTCTGTTAAGGCTGTACGGGGGATCTTTGTCTTTGCTGTGTACTGCAGTGTTTATTAACCTATTTCACTCCACGGCACAGCACACAATTTCGAGCCCGCTCAATCTTCGCGGCACACCGAACCAAACACTAACTGTGGGTGAGTGCGAATGCGTTGTAGTTGAGAGAGAGAGAGATAATACGATATCCCTCGATTAGACTGATCTCACCAAGAACAAGAAAAGAAAGTGGCACTGCCAAAATCGGTGACGAGAATTTGCCCAACTGCATGAATATAATTCTTCAGTGTCTCCATGTCTGTGTGTGTGTCTCCATGTGTCTGTATTCGTGTCCGTGTGTGTCTGTGTGTTTCTGTGTCTGTGTGTGGGTCTCCATATCTGTGTTTCTCTATATCTCTGGGCATCTCTGTATATCTGTGTGAGTGTATTCGTGTCTCTGAGCGTATCAGTGTCTCTGTGTGTGTCTCCGTGTCTCTGTGTGTTTCCATGTGTGTGCATGTGTCTCCGTGTCT